AAGTCTAGAAGGAATGACAGTTGTATGATATATCCAAGTCCTAGGAGGACTGAACAGCTGTATGATATATCCAAGTCCTAGAAGGACTGACAGTTGAATGATACTTCCAAGTCCTATGAGGTCTAAACAGCTGTATGATATTGCCAAGTCCTAGGAGGACTGAACAGCTGTAACCACACATCCAAGTCCTAGAAGGACTGACAGTTGAATGATACTACCAAGTCCTAGGAGGACTAAAAAGCTGTATGATTTTGCCAAGTCCTAGGGGATAGAACAGCTGTATGATATTTTCTAGTCCTAGAAGGACTAAACAGCTGTATGATTTTGCCAGGCCCTATGAGAACTAAACAGCTGTATGATATTGCCAAGTCCTAGGAGGACTGAACAGCTGTATGATATTGCCAAGTCCTAGGAGGACTGAACAGCTGTATGATATTGCCAAGTCCTAGGAGGACTGAACAGCTGTATGATATTGCCAGGTCCTAGGCTCTGGGAGCTTACAATAATGTACGAATAATTGATATTGACTGTTCCAAGTATAACTATCGTTTAATTGAAAAACAGAAAGAAAGCTAACAAACAAACCTGCCGATGATATAAAACACAGTGCCGACGACAAGGAAACCAATTATTACAGACATCCACACTCCTAGAGTTAGGGGCCGGAAAAAGAGTCCAGCATCATCATTAATGAGCTTCGTTAGAATGTCCATCGATGGCTTCTTCACCAGAATCCGCAACCCGACCTCTTCGAATGGATGCGAGAAGTGGACAACACGTGATCTCTCAACCGTTAAGGTCAAGGCTGCAGCCGCTATGTCACTTTTCTGAAACAGCAGTTATTGTTAACGTTTCCTTGAGAACACTTTAAACACTTTAACATGTTTCTAAGTTTGATCAGACTTTTACTTATAACCAAATATGATAGATATGTTTGTGTGACGAAATCAGACTAAACGTTACATAAACAGTCACCACGTCGGACGGACTAAACGTCACACAAACAATCACCACGTCGGACAGACTAAAAGTCACACAAACAGTCACCACGTCGGACAGACTAAAGGTCACACAGTCAGCACATCGGACAGACAAAGAGTTACACAAACAGTCACCACATCGGACAGACTAAACGTTACACAAAGCAGTCAATCAGTATCGAACCAGTTAGGCAGCTAGTCAGAAAGACATTACGTACGTTAGACGTGAGTTCGCCGATCATTCCATTCCAGTTGCCTACGGTGTCTTGACTTCCAAATTTCCAATCAGCAACGTGATCAAGCACGAGAGTAACGTTTAAGATATCCGAGATCTCGTCCAGCAGATCAGGGATAAATCCTTTCATAGGATGTATACTGACCAGGTAAGGCGTGTGCTAAGAATGAATAAATTCTTAAGATTGTAAAACATATGTAGAGTCATTTACCTTTCAGTATCGATTCTATTTTAAACATGCAACAAAACGTCGTTTCAGAACCTAGGGATATAATAGTATTTTCCTTATGACATTTATATCTATGACCTTTGAAGTATAAAATTTGAAATTTCGATTAACTAAATGTAAATTAACTAATGTAAGTTGTGGACATTTTTCAGCCCTTCTTTTTAGTGTATAGGGAGCATCTCGGTTTTGATTTGAGGGCAATCTTTATGTATTTAATATGGATGAAGATGGCTTACATGACGATTTACATGCAGTGTACGAGTTTAGAAGAACAAATCAATCTAATGCATATCTGAAATATGAATTAAAAAAAAATTCAATTTGTCGGGATGCAGATTGATGTATATAAAATGGCTTTGAAGCTCTAAAGAGAATAAATACTTACTAGACATAGAATAAATGGTTATTAGACAAAGAATGAAAAGGATCAATAGACTTTGAATAATTGGTGACTAGACGTAGAAAAAAAGGATACAAGACATAGAATAAATGGTTAGTAGACAAAGAATAAATGATCACTTGACGTATAATTTGATAGATACAAGACATAGATTAAATAATGAATAGACATAGAATAAATGCTTACTAGACATAGAATGAATGGTTATTAGAAAATGATTAAATGGTTACTAGAAAAAGAATAAATGGTTACTAGACAAAGAATGAATGATCACTAGAAGGAGAATAGATTATTTCAAGACATAGAATAGATTATATCAAGACGTAGAATAAATGGTTACTATACAAAGAATAAATGGGTACAAGACGTAGAAAAAATGGATAAAAGATACAGTATAAATGGTGAGTAAACGTGAAATAAATGATTACTAGACAAAGAATAAATGATTGATAGACATCAAATAAATAGTAGATATAAAATAAATGGTGAGTAGACATAGAAAGATTGTTAATGTAGTATTGTATAACTTTGAAAGAGTTGTTAAACTTCGGAGAAGAGAAACATGTGTATCATAGCCATGATGATTAGATTAAGTATATATTAAACATGATTTTATCTCTTCACAGGTCTAGTGATTTAATACCCACTGTTGTGAAGAAGGTTAGAATGTTACAATGTAGTATTATATATCTAAATCTGTATATTTGGAATCCTAGTTACAATACAAAGTGCTCTGTATTTTAGTCACCATAATACACGAATCGGCCAGAAATTAATTGAATTCCTTAAACAATTTTCGGGGAAAAGCAGAGCACAACATCAGAATTATTCCTAAAACAGCAAAGTCTGAAGATGACAAGAAAATTCCAAAGGGATCTTCTCGCCCATTATCGTATCATCGTTTTCATGTGCGTTTAAGATTGATTTTTTTCTCTTGTCTTATATCCTCTGAACATGACCAGTTATGGACAAAATATAAGAACCCCAAATTCACTGATAGAGATCCTTCCTGCACTCCGAGAAATAGAGATAACAAACTGTAAAGTTGATGAGATTGCGGCCTGCTGACTGTTTTCTTTATTTTGAATCAGTCTAAAAATGGACAATGTACAACTAGAAACCATAGCAACCCTATCCGCAAAATTTGAGAACGATACATTAAGATGAATACCTGACGGCATTTTAGTTTATTCAATCAGTTCCAAAAAGGACAACGCACATCAAGAGTAAAGGAGTCCTAGATAAGCTATTTGAGATTGATCCGTACAGTACTAAATATACTTCACAAAAAGCTGTAACAATCTATAGCTGTGAAAATTCAAGATGGCGACCTGTAGGCCTTTTTTTCTAATCATGTCCGAAGTAGACAAACACCACAAGCAGGAATTCGCGATAACAAAACAGAACGATTCAAATCCAAGATGGCAACCTGTCGGCCATGTTTTCTCGATTAGCCCAAACCTCGACACTGTACATGTATAACTGGAGGCCAAGGGTAACCTACATATGTAATTTAAGAATGATTCATCAAATCCTGTTATGAAATGGTGGTAACAAGATTTGTTTCGGGACAGACGGACGATGGATAACGGACAACTTCAACATTCAACTATTTATAGTGGTGTGATAAAAATAGGATAATCCACTCAAGGAAATGGATACATATAATATAGTTAGTCTGTAATAAAATGGTTTGAAATAAAACGAAGTTTTACAAACCTACCATGATGGTTGTCACTCTGTAGGTAGGTCTTAAACAGTCACCCTATCAACAGAAGCAGTACAATATTCAGAACGAAACATCAAAGAATGCTATCAGACACAGAACATTTTATATATACTACATATAAACAATTATAGACGATTACTAGATAGAGTCACTGTAGATGACAGTTAAAATAGTATCATTATAGAAGGTTGTTGTAGACGATAGTTAAATCAGATCATTAAAGAATATATCTAGAGAGAGGTCGCTGTAGACGACAGTAGGATAGGATCATTATAGAAGATAACTAGAGAGGTCGCTGTGACGATAGTTATATAAGACATTTATAGAAGATATTTAGAGAGAGGTCGTTAGTGGGAACAGTTAAAAAGGATCATTGTAATCGATTTTTCTACTACATTTTCTTACCTGTTTTAAGAGACCAGTGATAACAACCAAAATGACAAACCACGTGCATTTTTCGGTTGGCATGGTTATGTTAGAGAATTTGTATCCGTCTTACAGTAGAAACCTGAACTATATCCAGAGTCTTCTCAATACCTGAAATACACCAGCAATGTTTCTCAACGGGCAAACTACTCCATGCACAATCCTTGCCTCCACTGATAGGTGGTGCTCTTATCGTGTACTCCCTAAAACAGCAGTCACGTGAACAGCTGAGTGTCTTTGTCCAGATAAGATTGAAATTATTCTCTGTTTAATAATGGTATACGTGTCGATCACTAATAAGTAACGTAATTAGAATTTGATAAAACTGATATTATACAAGGTCGCGTGTTACGTTCTTGAAACAAGATATAGTAAGAGCAATGTGCCCCATGGTGGCCAATAGATGGACGCAGAACAGGTGCTTCATGGTTTTGAGTCGATGTCAGTTAACATCAGAACAATTCACGGAATTATTATTAAGACAAGTATATATTTCGCATTATCAAATATTAATCAATTTTAGAAAAAATGCTATAATTACAAAACCACTGTTTGAACACATAATCATTGCAGGAACTGCTCTCTTCACAGAACTACCATTAAAACCCATTCACAAATTGTGTCTGACGCTAATTAGTGCTAAAATATGTTCTATTGACAGAACTACCCGAGAAACACGTGTTGTATTTGTGTTTGATATAAATCAAGAAGAGAATAGACGCCCTATTCACGGAACTACCTGTAGAACACGTGTAATATTTGTGTTTGACGTCAATCAGAAATAGAAAAGACGCCATATTCACAGAACTACCTATAGAACACGTTCAATAGACTTGTTTCTGTTAGTTCTACGTTATTGGAATAAAAACGATACATTCTGTTATCTTTACATATTCCGAAGGGTCGCAGAATATGTATTTCCGTGGACATTCAAGCCCAAACGAAGCGTACATTGGGAACCATGTATAACAAACATGTATTCATATCCTATAACATTAAGGAAAATAAACTCATTTTGGGTTATTTGCTGTAAATATCTCAGTTGGTATATATAAGTTTAAGATTAAATTGGAGGTATCTCCCTTGTATCAGACTCGTACATGACATGATGAAGGTTTGTGGGTGTATTTATATATGTATGTTTTACGTTTCATCAGTTTGTGTTGGGAGAAAACTAATATAGAATTTTAGCCTGTTGTCTAATCCCTTCGATATTTGTTCCAATGAAATGTTTAAGATGAATGAAACCCCGACAAAACAATACTACAGTCTCCATATTTTAATCAATGATTTAAGAACGTAGTGCTTCTGATGTAATAGATAAATCACACGCTAGTAATTATCAGATAATACTCCACATATAGAATACAAAACCTATCAAATGTATGATAACAACACAGACTAACATGATACAAATTCAAGCGTGTTGCCTATTAGTTAATTAATTAATTGATTTATCACTCAACGTTCCCTTAATCCAATGATAAGTCTAATCAAACGGAGAATGACGTATGGAGTTAAATTCTGCCAGTTATACCTACACAGCTGTTTGCGAGTTATTCACACGTTTCTGGTCAATCCGCAAACTAAAACAATCCTCTGTGATAAAGTTGTCCTGTACCGGATTTATGTAGTTTTATACAGATTCATAGGAATTTGATAAATTTGATAATGAATAGAAGTCGTTTTGTTTTCGTTTTCTTGTTGTTTCTTGATAAAACGAAAACAATATTTTGTTCCCATCATATTGGCATGTATCTTTGCATTTTATTACAAAAGAAACGCTCGCTAGATTCAAACGGCGTAACGCTATACAAACAAGGTTATAATGAATATGTATATGTAAGAACAGTACAGTCCAAATATATTTGATAAATAAAGTTCACAATTTACATCTAGTAAATTTTGTTCTGTGTGATGAGACTAGAAACGACTATGGAACATAACAATGAGAAATAACAGTATTTCATAAATTCATATTACAATCGAACTTCGAATTTCGAAGTTGCCGGGACCCTCTGAAAACTTCGAGTTATCCGATTGTTCGGTTTAGATAAGATCGAATATATAGTGTAAAGTTTGGATAATTGATTTTCTTAAGACTGTGTACCCGAAGACTGGTGTCATTTGGCTAGAACTCTGAAAGTAAACAGGGCGTGACTTTTGACAAAGTCGCTGAAAGAGCAGTGCAAGGTTTAGCACCTATACTGATATAGTAGCAACACTAGGAAATGATGCCCTTTCATATGCTACAGAGAAAAGGTGGGTGGTGGAATTTAAGCGTGGCAGACAGACCGTTGGGATAGACGCCCGTCCTGGTAGGACTGTCACTGTTGCAACTTCAGAAATGGTCAGTAAAGTCCATGGTATTGTTATGATTGACAAGCGACTTACAGAGAGATATTTAGCCAGTACAGTTGGGATTTCACAGAAAAGAGGACATTGCATTGTTAAAAGGCAAAGACTGTTCCATCAGTCGGAAAGGTTATGGTCTCCGTTTTCTGGGTATTGATGTAATTCTGATTGTAGACCATCGACAAAAGGGACAAACCATGAATTATACATATATGCATCACTTTTTATGCAGTTAAGAGAAAATATCAAACTCAAACCGCGGAAAACTCGGTGAAGGTGTGTTGTCTACCAGGACAATGCCCTTGTTCACAAGTCTGTCATTGTTTTGGTTATCATTGACGACTATGACTTTGAATTGATTGAACATCCGCCTCATTTGCCTGATTTCGCTCCATCAGACTTTTATCAATATCCAAAATTGAAAAGGGCCATTTCGACCAGATAATGACGTCGTACATGCAGTGGAGGACTTTCTACGGCCAAGAAAAGGACTTCTTCAAAATTGGCACTGAGGTCGTTATACATCGCTGGCAAAAGTGTATAGATCTTAAGAGGATTATGCTGAAAAATAATTTAGTATGTTCGTCAAAAGTCAATCCCTTAAATATGAGGCTCACGACTTATCAATGAGCCATTATACTTCGAATTATAAAGGGTCTTCGAGTTAAAAGAGTTCGAGATAACAGGTTTGACTAGAGTGCTCTTCATTAATTTAACTAACAATACGTGTCATATTGTTTTAAATTCTGCAGTCTTATATTTCTATCTACATACAGTTAGTTAACTTTTTTGGTAGGCGTGTATTCCACTTACCTGTAATATCCTCTTTACAGACATAACTACGGAAGCGTATAGGGGACATAAGTTCCTAACATCAAATGCACTATTAATATTTTATAATATCCTCATTTACGGAGATAATTGTTTTCATCTTGGGATAAAGAATTTAACATACCACAGTTTGTCTTCATACCTGACATTCAAATAAAACGACTTGGGCACATAAATCTACTTACCTTAAGAAAATATATGTCGAGAATACAAAATGCTATTATTCCATATTTTAAAACAATCATAAGAGTTCGAGATAACAGGTTTGACTGGAGTGGTCTTCATTTATTTCACTAACGATACGGTGATATTGTTTTAAAAAATGGAATAATAGCATTATAACCTCATTTTTACGTTCCGTAGTCGTTTCTAGTCTCATCACACAGAACAAAATTTACTTGACGTAAATTGTGAACTTTATTTATCAAATATATTTGGACTGTACTGTTCTTACATATACATATTCATTATAACCTTGTTTGTATAGCGTTACGCCATTTGAATCTAGCGAGCGTTTCTTTTGTAATAAAATGCAAAGATACATGCCAATATGATGGGAACAAAATATAAGTCGTTTTATCAAGAAACAACAAGAAAACGAAAACAAAACGACTTCTATTTATCATCAAATTTATCAAATTCCTATGAATCTGTATAAAACTACATAAATCCGGTACAGGACAACTTTATCACAGAGGATTGTTTTAGTTTGCGGATTGACCAGAAACGTGTGAATAACTCGCAAACAGCTGTGTTGGTACAGCTGGCAGAATTTAACTTCATACGTCATTCTCCGTTTGATTAGACTTATCATTGGATTAAGGGAACGTTGAGTGATAAATCAATTAATTAATTAACTAATAGGCAACACGCTTGAATTTGTATCATGTTAGTCTGTGTTGTTATCATACATTTGATAGGTTTTGTATTCTATATGTGGAGTATTATCTGATAATCACTAGCGTGTGATTTATCTATTACATCAAATAAATATACGTATGGAGACTGTAGTATTGTTTTGTCGGGGTTTCATTCATCTTAAACATTTCATTGGAACAAATATCAAAGGGATTAGACAACAGGCTAAAATTCTATAATAATCTTCTCCCAACACAAACTGATGAAACGTAAAACATACATATATAAATACACCCACAAACCTTCATCATGTCATGTACGAGTCTGATACAAGGGAGATACCTCCAATTTAATCTTAAACTTATATATACCAACTGAGATATTTACAGCAAATAACCCAAAATGAGTTTATTTTCCTTAATGTTATAAGGATATGAAAACATGTCTGTTATACTTGACTTGGACTTGAATTTCCACGGAAATACATATTCTGCGACCCTTCGGAATATGTAAAGAAAACAGAATGTATCGTTTTTATTCCAATAACGTAGAACTAACAGAAACAAGTCCATTGAACGTGTTCTACAGGTAGTTCTGTGAATATGGCGTCTTTTCTATTTCTAATTTAGGTCAAACACAAATACTACAAGTGTTCTACAAGTAGTTCTTTGTATAGAACGTCTTTTCTATTTCAGATTTACGTCAAACACAAAAACTACACGTGTTCTACAGGTAGTTCTGTCAACATGGCGTCTATTCTTTTTCTGATTTATGTCAAACATGAATACAACACGTGGTCTACAGGTAGTTCTGTGAATATGGCGTCTTTTCTATTTCTGATTGATGTCAAACATAAAAACAACACGTGTTCTACAGGTAGGTATGTGTATAGAGCGTCTTTTCTATTTCTGATTAATGTCAAATATAATACACGTGGTCTACAGGTAGTTCCGTGAATATGGCGTCTTTTCTATTTCTGATTGATGTCAAACGTAAAAACAACACGTGTTCTACAGGTAGATATGTGTATAGAGCGTCTTTTCTATTTCTGATTGATGTCAAATACAAATACTACACGTGGTCTACAGGTAGTTCTGTGAATAGAGCGTATTTTCTATTTCTTATTGGCGTCAAATGCAAATACTACATGTGTTCTACAGGTAGTTCTGTCAACATGGCGTCTATTCTTTTCCTGATTGACGTCAATAATGTCTTTTTTCCTCGGGTAGTTCTGTGAATAGAACGTGTTTCAGCACTGAATGTCCACGAAAATACATATTCTGCTACCCTTCGCAATATATAAAGAAAACAATGTATCGTTTATATTCAAATAACGTAGAACTAACAGAAACAAATCTATTGAACGTGTTCTATAGGTAGTTCTGTGAATAGAGCGTATTTTCTATTTTTCATTGGCGTCAAATACATATACTACACGTGTTCTACATGTAGTTCTTTGTATAGAACGTCTTTTCTATTTCAGATTTACGTCAAACACAAATACTACATGTGTTCTACAGGTAGTTCTGTCAACATGGCGTCTATTCTTTTTCTGATTTATGTCAAACATGAATACAACACGTGGTCTACAGGTAGGTATGTGTATAGAGCGTCTTTTCTATTTCTGATTGATGTCAAACACAAATACTACACGTGTTCTACAGTTAGTTCTGTCAACATGGCGTCTATTCTTTTCCTGATTGACGTCAAACACAATATCTTGTTTCTACAGGTAGTTCTGTGAATAGGCGTGTTCTTTTCACTGAATGTCCACAATAATACATTTTTACCCTTCGCAATATGTAAAGAAAACGATGTATCGTTTATATTCAAATAACGTAGAACTAACAGAAAAAAATCTATTGAACGTGTTCTACAGGTAGGTATGTGTATAGAGCGTCTTTTCTATTTCTGATTGACGTCACACACAAATACTACACGTGTTCTACAGGTAGTTCTTTGTATAGAACGTCTTTTCTATTTCAGATTTACGTCAAACACAAAACCTACACGTGTTCTACAGGTAGTTCTGTCAACATGGCGTCTATTCTTTTTCTGATTTATGTCAAATACAAATACAACACGTGGTCTATAGGTAGTACTGTGAATATGGCGTCTTTTCTATTTCTGATTGATGTCAATAATATTTTTTTCCTCGGGTAGTTCTGTCAGTAGAACATTTTTAGCACTGATTAGCGTCAAACACAAATTGCACATGGGTTTTATTGGTAGTTCTGTGAAGAGAGCATAAACGAGAACAGTATTATTTTTTCAAACAGTGGTTTTTTAATTATAGCATTTTTTTCTAAAATTGATTAATATTTTATAATGCGAAATATATACGTGTCTTAATAATAATTCCGTGAATTGTTCTGATGTTAACTGACATCGACTCAAAACCATGAAGCACATGTTCTGCGTCCATCTATTGGCCACCACGGGGCACATTGTTCTTACTATATCTTGTTTCAAGAACGTAACACGCGACCTTGTATAATATCAATTTTATCAAATTCTAATTACGTTACTTATTAGTGATCGACACGTATACCATGATAAAGCCGGGAATAATTTCAATCTTATCTGGACAAAGGCACTCAGCTGTTCACGTGACCGCTGTTTTAGGGAGTACACGACCAGAGCGCCACCTATCAGTGGAGGCGAGGATTGTGCATGGAGTAGTTTGCCCGTTGAGAAGCATTGGTGTATTAAGGTATTGACAAGACTCTGGATATAGTTCTGGTTTCTACTGTAAGACGGATACAGATTCTCTAACATAGCCATGCCAACCGAAAAATGCACGTGGTTTGTCATTTTGGTCGTTATCACTGGTCTCTTAAAACAGGTAAGAAAATGTAGTAGAAAAAACGATTACAATGATCCTTTTTAACTGTTCCCACTAACGACCTCTCTCTAGATATCTTCTATAAATGTCTTATATAACTATCGTCACAGCGACCTCTCTAGATATCTTCTATAATGATATTATTTAAATATCGTATACAGCGACCTCTCTCTAGATATCTTCTATAATGATATTATTTAAATATCGTATACAGCGACCTCTCTCTAGATATCTTCTATAATGATATTATTTAAATATCGTATACAGCGACCTCTCTCTAGATATCTTCAATAATGATTCTATCTAACTATCGTCTACAGTGATCTCTCTCTAGATATCCTCAATAATGATCTGATTTAAGTATCGTCTACAGCGACCTCTCTCTATTAATCTCTGTAATGATCTGATTTAACTATCGTCTACAGCAACCTTCTATAATGATACTATTTTAACTGTCGTCTACAGCGACTGTATCTAGTAATCGTCTATAATTGTTTATATGTAGTATATATAAAATGTTCTGTGTCTGATAGCATTCTTTGATGTTTCGTTCTGAATATTGTACTGCTTCTGTTGATAGGGTGACTGTTTAAGACCTACCTACAGAGTGACAACCATCATGGTAGGTTTGTAAAACTTCGTTTTATTTCAAACCATTTTATTACAGACTAACTATATTATATGTATCCATTTCCTTGAGTGGATTATCCTATTTTTATCACACCACTATAAATAGTTGAATGTTGAAGTTGTCCGTTATCCATCGTCCGTCTGTTCCGAAACAAATCTTGTTACCACCATTTCATAATAGGATTTGATAAATCATTCTTAAATTACATATGTAGGTTATCCTTGGCCTCCAGTTATACATGTACAGTGTCGAGGTTTGGGCTAATCGAGAAAATATGGCCGACAGGTTGCCATCTTGGATTTGAATCGTTCTGTTTTGTTATCGCGAATTCCTGCTTGTGGTGTTTGTCTACTTCGGACATGATTAGAAAAAAAGGCCTACAGGTCGCCATCTTGAATTTTCACAGCTATAGATTGTTACAGCTTTTTGTGAAGTATATTTAGTACTGTACGGATCAATCTCAAATAGCTTATCTAGGACTCCTTTACTCTTGATGTGCGTTGTCCTTTTTGGAACTGATTGAATAAACTAAAATGCCGTCAGGTATTCATCTTCATGGATCGTTCTCAAATTTTGCGGATAGGGTTGCTATGGTTTCTAGTTGTACATTGTCCATTTTTAGACTGATTCAAAATAAAGAAAACAGTCAGCAGGCCGCAATCTCATCAACTTTATGGTTTGTTATCTCTATCTTTGGGAGGATTGGAGGGATCTGCTTCAGCGAATGTCGGGGTTCCTTTATTTTGGTAATTATTGGTCATGTTCAGAGCATATAAGACAGGAGAAAAAAATCAATCTTAAACGCACCTGAAAACGATGATACGATAATGGGCGAGAAGATCCCTTTGGAATTTTCTTGTCATCTTCAGACTTTGCTGTTTTAGGAATAATTCTGATGTTGTGCTCTGTTTTTCCCCGAAAAGTGTTTAAGGAATTCAATTAATTTCTGGCCGATTCGTGTATTATGGTGACTAAAATACAGAGCACTTTGTATTGTAACTAGGATTCCAAATATACAGATTTAGATATATAATACTACATTGTAACATTCTAACCTTCTTCACAACAGTGGGTATTAAATCACTAGACCTGTGGAGAGAAAAAAATCATGTTTAATATGTACTTAATCTAATCATCATGGCTATGATACACATGTTTCTCTTCTCCGAAGTTTAACAACTCTTTCAAAGTTATACAATACTACATTAACAATCTTTCTATGCTACTCACCATTTATTTTATATCTACTATTTATTTGATGTCTATCAGTCATTTATTCTTTGTCTAGTAATCATTTATTTCACGTAAACGTTTATCATTTGTAAAGAAACCATTTATTCTACGTCTGAAAAAATATATTCTATGTCTTGAAATAATCTCTTCTCCTTCTAGTGACCACCAATTCTTTATATCGTAATCATTTATTCTTTTTCCTGTAAAAAATTATTCTGTGTCTTGTAAATTTAATATATTCATTCTATGTCTACGTCATAAGAAATAATATATTCTTTGTCTTGAAATAATTTATATTCTATGTCTTGAAATAATCTATTCTATGTCTTGAAATAATTTATTTTATGTCTTGAAATAATCTATTTGATGTCTTGAAATAATATATTCTCCTTCTAGTGACCATTCATTCTTTGTATAGTAACCATTTATTCTACGTCTTGAAATAATCTATTCTTTGTCTTGAAATAATCTATTCTTTGTCTTGAAAAATCTATCCTCATTCTAGTGACCATTCATTCTTTGTCTAGTGACCATTTATTCTATTTCTAGTGACTATATTTTTTGTCCTGTAAAAAAATCTTCTGTGTCTTGTAACCATTTATTCATTTTCTAATAACCAATTATTCTATGTCTAGTAAGCATTTATTCTTCGTCTATCAATTATTTATTCTATATCTAGTGACTATTCATTATTTGCCTAATAAATTTCTATTCTTTGTCTACCCAGCTTTTATTCTATGTCTATTTATTATTTAATCTATGTCTTGTATCCATTAAATTATACGTCAAGTGGCCATATATTCTTTGTCTAATAACCATCTATTCTATGTCTAGTAAGTATTTATTCTCTTCAGAGCTACAAAGCCATTTTATATACATCAATCTGCATCCCGACAAATTGACTTTTTATTTTATTCATATTTCAGATATGCATTAGATTGATTTGTTCTTCTAAACTCGTACACTGCATGTAAATCGTCATGTAAGCCATCTTCATCCATATTGAATACATAAAGGTAGCCCTCAAATCAAAACCGAGATGCTCCCTACACACTAAAAAGAAGGGAAAAGGTACATCTTCCCTTGGCTGAAAAATGTCCGCAACTTACATTACTTAATTTTACACTTCCAAGGTCATAGATATAAATGTCACAAGGAAAATATCATTATATTCCTAGGTTCTGAAACTACGTTTTGCTACAGCTTTAAAATCGAATTGATATTGAAAGGTTATTGACTCTACATATGTTTTACAATCTTCAGAATTAATTTATTCTTAGCACGACCCTTACCTGGTCAGTATACAGCCCATGAAGGGATTTATCCCTGATCTGCTGGACGAGATCTCGGATATCTTAAACGTTACTCTCGTGCTTGATCACGTTGCTGATTGGAAATTTGGAACTCAAGACACCCTTGGCAACTGGAATGGAATGATCGGCGAACTCACGTCTAACGTACGTAATGTCTTTCTGCTTAGCTGTCTATCTAGTTCGATACCGATTGACTGTCTGACGTGGTGACTGTTTGTGTAATGTTTATTCTGTCTGTTGTGGTGACTATGTAAAGTTTAGCATGTCCGACGTCGTGAATGTTTGTGTAACGTTTAGTCTGTCCGATGTGCTGACTGTTTGTGTAACGTTTAGTCTGTCCGATGTGCTGACTGTTTGTGTAACGTTTAGTCTGTCCGACGTGGTGACTGTTTGTGTGACGTTTAGTCTGTCTGATGCGGCGACTGTTTGTGTGAAGTTTAGTCTGTCTGATGTGGTGACTGTTTGTGTAATGTTTAGTCTGTCCGATGTGGTGACAATTTGTGTGACGTTTAGTATGTTCGATGCGGCGACTGTTTGTGTAACGTTTAGTCTGTCCGATGTGCTGACTGCTTGTGTGACGTTTAGTCTGTCTGATGCGGCGACTGTTTGCGTGACGTTTCGTCTGTCTGATGTGGTGACTGTGTAATGTTTAGTCTGTCCGATGTGGTGACTGTTTGTGTGAAGTTTAGTCTGTTCGATGTGGTGACTGTTTGTGTAATGTTTAGCCTGTCCGATATGGTGACTATGTAACGTTTAGTCTGTTCGACGTGGCGACTGTTTGTGTAACGTTTAGTCTGTCTGACGTGGTGACTGTTTGTGTAATGTTTATTCTGTCTGTTGTGGTGACTATGTAAAGTTTAGCATGTCCGACGTCGTGAATGTTTGTGTAACGTTTAGTCTGTCCGATGTGCTGACTGTTTGTGTAACGTTTAGTCTGTCCGATGTGCTGACTGTTTGTGTAACGTTTAGTCTGTCCGACGTGGTGACTGTTTGTGTGACGTTTAGTCTGTCTGATGTGGTGACTGTTTGTGTAATGTTTAGTCTGTCTGATGTGGTGACTGTTTTGTAATGTTTAGCCTGTCCGATGTGGTTACTATGTAACGTTTAGTCTGTGTGATGTGGCGACTGTTTGTGTGACGTTTAGTCTGTCTGATGTTGTGACTGCTTGTGTGACGTTTAGTCTGATTTCGCCACACAAACATATCTATCTATCATATTTGGTTATAAGTCTAAGTCCGTTCAAACATAAAAACATGTTTAAAGTGTTCTCAAGGAAACGTTAACAATAACTGCTGTTTCAGAAAAGTGACATAGCGGCTGCAGCATTGACCTTAACGGCTGAGAGATCACGTGTTGTCCACTTCTCGCATCCATTCGAAACGGTCGGGTTGCGGATTTTAGTGAAGAAGCCATCGATGGACATTCTAACGAAGCTCATTAATGATGATGCTGGACTCTTTTTCCGACCCCTAACTCTAGGAGTGTGGATGTCTGTAATAATTGGTTTCCTTGTCATCGGTACTTTGTTTTATATCATCGGCAGGTTTGTATGATAGCTTTCTTTCAGTTTTTTTTAATTAAATATAGCTATACTTGGAACAATCAGTCAATATTAATTATTCGTACATTATTTAAGCTCCCAAAATGATGTAGATAGAGGAAAAGAGGAACCTGTCATTATTATTTAGAAGCAAGTACAGCATAGTGTTAAACTGCGTCATACAGCTGTTCAGTCCTCTTAGGACTTGGCAACATCATACCGCTGTTCAGACCTCCTAGGGCCTGGTAATATCATACAGCTATTCAGTCCTCCTAGGGCCTTGCAATATCATACAGCTGTTCAGTCCTCTTAGGACTTGGCAATATCATACAGCTGTTCAGTCCTCCTAGGGCCTCGCAATATCATACAGCTGTTCAGTCCTCTTAGGACTTGGCAATATCATACAGCTGTTCAGTCCTCTTAGGACTTGGCAATATCATACAGCTGTTCAGTCCTCTTAGGACTTGGCAATATCATACAGCTGTTCAGTACTCCTATGACGTGATAATATCATACAGCTGTTCAGTCCTCCTAGGATTTGGGAATATTATACAGCTGTTCAGTCCTCCTAGGACTTGGCAATATCATACAGCTGTTTAGTCCTCATAGGACTAGAAAATATCATTCAACTGTCAGTCCCTCTAGGACTTGGCAATATCATACAGCTGTTCAGCCCTATCAGGACTTGGAAATATCATACAGCTGTTCAATCCCCTAGGACGTGGCAAAATCATACAGCTGTTTAGTCCTCCTAGGACTTGGATATATCATACAGCTGTTTAATCCTCCTAGGACTAAGAAATATCATACAGCTGTTCAATCCCCTAGAACTTGGAAATATCATTCAACTGTCAGTCCTTCTAAGACCTGGCAATATCATACAGCTGTTCAGTCCTCCTAGGACTTGGGAATATCATACAGCTGTTCACTCCTCTTAGGACTTGGCAATATCATACAGCTGTTTAGTTCTCATAGGGCCTGGCAATATCATACAGCTGTTTAGTCCTCCTAGGACTTGGCAATATCATACAGCTGTTTAGACCTCATAGGACTTGGTAGTATCATTCAACTGGCAGTCCTTCGAGGACTTGGATATATCATACAGCTGTTCAGTCCTCCTAGGACTTGGATATATCATTCAACTGTCATTCCTTCTAGACTTGGCAATATCATACAGCTGTTTAGTCCTCCTAGGACTAGAAAATAGCATAGTGCTGTTCACTCCTCCTAGGACTTGGAAATACCATACAGCTGTTCAATCCCCTAGGACGTGGCAAAATCATACAGCTGTTTAGTCCTCCTAGGACTTGGATATATCATACAGCTGTTTAATCCTCCTAGGACTAAGAAATATCATACAGCTGTTCAATCCCCTAGAACTTGGAAATATCATTCAACTGTCAGTCCTTCTAAGACCTGGCAATATCATACAGCTGTTCAGTCCTCCTAGGACTTGGCAATATCATACAGCTGTTTAGTCCTCATATGACTTGGCAATATCATACAGCTGTTTAGTTCTCATAGGGCCTGGCAATATCATACAGCTGTTTAGTCCATCTAGGACTTGGCAATATCATACAGCTGTTCAGTCCTCCTAGGACTTGGATATATCATACAGTTGTTCAGTCCTCCTAGGACTAAAAAATATCACACATCTGTTCAGTCCTCCTAGGACTTGGCAATATCATACAGCTTTTTAGTCCTCCTAGGACTTGGTAGTATCATTCAACTGTCAGTCCTTCTAGGACTTGGATATATCATACAGCTGTTCAGTCCTTCTAGGACTTGGATATATCATACAGCTGTTCACTCCTCCTAGGGTCTGGCAATATCATACAGCTGTCAGTCCTCATAGGACTTGGCAATGTCATACAGCTGTTCAGTCCTCCTAGGACTTGGCAATATCATACAGCTGTTTAGTCCTCCTAGGGCTTGGAACTATCATACAGCTGTTCTATCCCCTAGGACTTGGCAAAATCATACAGCTTTTTAGTCCTCCTAGGACTTGGATATATCATACAGCTGTTTAGACCTCATAGGACTTGGTAGTATCATTCAACTGGCAGTCCTTCGAGGACTTGGATATATCATACAGCTGTCAGTCCTCATAGGACTTGGCAATATCATTCAACTCTCATTCCTTCTAGACTTGGCAATATCATACAGCTGTTTAGTCCTCCTAGGACTAGAAAATAGCATAGTGCTGTTCACTCCTCCTAGGACTTGGAAATACCATACAGCTGTTCAATCCCCTAGGACGTGGCAAAATCATACAGCTGTTTAATCCTCCTAGGACTAAGAAATATCATACAGCTGTTCAATCCCCTAGAACTTGGAAATATCATTCAACTGTTTAGTCCTCATAGGACTTGGCAATATCATACAGCTGTTCTATCCCCTAGGACTTGGCAAAATCATACAGCTGTTTAATCCTCCTAGGACTAAGAAATATCATACAGCTGTTCAATCCCCTAGAACTTGGAAATATCATACAACTGTTTAGTCCATCTAGGACTTGGCAATATCATACAGCTGTTCAGTCCTCCTAGGACTTGGATATATCATACAGTTGTTCAGTCCTCCTAGGACTAAAAAATATCATACATCTGTTCAGTCCTCCTAGGACTTGGCAATATCATACAGCTGTTTAGTTCTCATAGGGCCTGGCGATATCATACAGCTGTCAGTCTTCATAGGACTTGGCAGTATTATTCAACTGTCAGTCCTTCTAGGACTTGGCAATATCATACAGCTGTTTAGTCCTCCTAGGGCTAGAAAATATCATACAGATGTTTAGTCCTCCTAGGGCTTGGAACTATCATACAGCTGTTCTATCCCCTAGGACTTGGCAAAATCATACAGCTTTTTAGTCCTCCTAGGACTTGGATATATCATACAGCTGTTTAGTCCTCCTAGGACTAGGAAATATCATCCGGCTGTTCACTCCTCCTAGGGTCTGGCAATATCATACAGCTGTTTAGTTCTCATAGGGCCTGGCGATATCGTACAGCTGTCAGTCCTCATAGGACTTGGCAATATCATACAGCTGTTCAGTCCTCATAGGACTTGGCAATATCATACAGCTGTTTAGTTCTCATAGGGCCTGGCGATATCATACAGCTGTTTAGTTCTCATAGGGCCTGGCGATATCGTACAGCTGTCAGTCCTCATAGGACTTGGCAATATCATACAGCTGTTCAGTCCTCATAGGACTTGGCAATATCATACAGCTGTTTAGTCCTCCTAGGACTAGAAAATAGCATACTGCTGTTCACTCCTCCTAGGACTTGGAAATATCACACAGCTGATCAATCCCCTAGGACTTGGAAAAATCATACAGCTGTTTAGTCCTCCTAGGACTTGGCAATATCACACAGCTGATCAATCCCCTAGGATTTGGCAAAATCATACAGCTGTTCAGTCCTATCAGGGTGTGGAAATACCATGCAACTGTCAGTCCTTCTAGTACTTGGCAGTATCATAGAGTTATTCAGCTCTCATAGGACTTTGCAATATCGTACAGCTGTTCAGTCCTCCTAGGACTTTGCAATATCATACAGCTGTTAAGTCCTTCTAGGGCCTGGCAATATCATACAATTGTTCTGACCTTATAGGACTTGGGACTATCATACAGCTGTGCAGTCCTATCAGGACTTGGCAATACCATGCAACTGTCAGTCCATCTAGGACTAGGAAATATCATACAGCTGTTCAGTCCTCCTAGGAATTTGCAATATCATACAGCTGTTCACTCCTCCTAGGGTCTGGCGATATCATACAGCTGTTTAGTTCTCATAGGGCCTGGCGATATCATACAGCTGTCAGTCCTCAAAGGAATTGGCAGTATCATTCAACTGTCAGTCCTTCTAGGACTTGGTAATATCATAAGCTGTTCAGTTCTTCTAGGACTTGACGATATCATGCTAAATTCAAATTTGTTGAAATAAATTCAACATAAAAATATATTAACCCGATTAACTGAATTTGCAGAAATTCAAAATTTGTGTTTGTGTAATTATTATGATACATCGATGCAATGTACAGTTATTTTTACTCGTTGTCTTCTTTATCAAGACCAATACATTTCTTTCCTCTTTTCAACTGCTCTGCCACAAAAAATGAAGTATCTGTTATTCCCGGTACAATGTTGTTGAATATGTCATTGTCTAGGGAAGCCAGTTCATACTTGTAGATATCAATATGTTAACCCCAATCGCGATATGTTTTTGTACTTTACCGTAGACTCCAGACTGCTGATAAAGTCGTACATATTTGGCCAATGGAGTTAAAACACTGCTACAATATAGTTATGTTAATGGAATGACAACATTGGTATTTAAATAGTAAAAAGTAATGAATGTTTCATATGGTTGTAACAGCTCTTGCTTAATAATTCTGGGTTTGGAGCTGACGATACTTTCTCTTGAGATTTTTTCACGACTGACCAGATTTGAGCCTATCCTTTCTCAACATTTCTGATATAGGGCTAGCACTAGTCACGGCAGATCCCTCCACATATTCTACACATTCTCTCCCTCTGAATGTATTCAGCTCAAAAGTATTTCTGCCAGGCACATAGACTATAGGGCTGTGAAGATCCTAATGGGTGATGGTTAACCATACCTAGATCAAGACGTTTCTTTCCTAATTTCTCAAAAAGTGGAAAGACTTCCTGCCAATATGAATGTATTGAAACTTCATTTTAATAAATATATATTAAAATGAAGTTTTAATACATTCATATGGGTTGACATATACGCTCAGTGTCTAGAGTGCAAAACATACCTAGATTTATGTAAAACATTTTTGATAGTTTAATCAACATCTTACATACAACTTGGAATGTTTTCTTGTCCGCTATAAAGGGTCTTCGGCGTCCATCGCCCGAGAGGAGTATCGAGACCCCTAAATTTACACTACACCTCTCGATTTAGATTGATAACTTTGAATTTGTTTATGTTTTATGGATGTGATGCAATTGGTGTAATATTTGTGACTTGATAAAGGGGGCAGGTTGCCTCGAAAATCTGGCAGTTCGCTTGTCCGGAAAAAATGAATTGGACAGAAGATCTGTGAGTTTTCTGGTCACTCCTTCGGTCTCGGTACATTAATGTAGGTTTAAATTATTCTTTTGTGACGGGCAGACTTTAACACAATGTAAAAGAGACACGACATCCTAGGGGTTAAACTCCATGTCTTCTGAGAGAGAAATTTCGTAACGGAAAGTTACTGAACACACCTTTTCCTGATTCCGTCGTAAAACTTTTTCAGAAGTACTGGTTATAAAAGGCTGGTACCGTGGACACATGTCCAATATGGTACAGTCAATGTTATAGATAAACAGCTAGCTGTTATGGGTAATGGCACACATCGCCATCTGATTTGACACTTTTTCCCGCAAATTTTCATTTTCCTCAGTCTCTATGTTTCAACGATTTGGTCATTGGCACCCTAAAAGGACAACAGCGGTATGATGTTTAATTCTTTGTCTCTAATTCAGAAGTTTAATTGAAATATGCTATACACAATTCATTTAAGAACGTGCTTGTTACAGGTTTAGTCCCCTTCAAGATCTGTCAGAAGGCGGCATATTATGGGCACTGTCTGTTACATGTGGAGTAATTTCATTTCAAGGTAAGGTCTGTGTACACTCTGAATAATGGTTATGAGAGTGTATACAAGATAAATATTGGGTACACATGTACTCTGGATAATGGTTATGATAGTGTAGTGTGGATAGACTTACGTATGCTTTACATCTTTATCATTTAATTGCAGGAGCGCGACATATTCCATCGGCCTTCTCCGCACGTGTCCTCGTCTCCAGCGCCTTACTTTTCACACTTACACTCGTCTCTATGTACTCCGCTACACTTGTTGCCTTCGTTTCGGCAAAGAGGATTAACAGTAATGCACTACCGTTTAGTACCTTCAGGGGTATGTCTTTACAGACTGAGTACCAGTATGGAACTTTATTTGCGAGCAGCACTTACAAGTATCTAACCACATCTAGCGGAGAGACCGAACGGAGTATAGCAATGCATCTTAAGGAGAATCCTGCCAATCTGATGATGTCTATAGCGGAAGGAGTCAATCGTGTAAAACAAGGAAAGTATGGTTTTATTTTAGAGTCGGCGTCAGCCTACCACATTAGCTCGACATCGTGCGACATGATGGTCGTTGGTGAAAACCTGAGAGAAAGAACATATAACTTCGCTTGTAGACAAAACACCAACATTTGTGACCAACTCAACATAGCAATATTACAACTGAAAATGAATGGACGCATGGACGAGCTTAAAACAAAATGGTGGAGCGGAAAATGTGGTTTCTTCCCTAGACAGCAAACGACTGATGGTGAAACAGACAATACGCTAAGCAAGGGGACCCAAATTGACATGAAACGTTTTACCATTCCGCTGATTCTGCTGGTAATTGGAATAGTGATGAGCGTTGTGATTCTGCTGATGGAGATATACTTCCCCAAAGTCGCCGGGGTAGGTACATGTCATGCATATAGTTTAGACATTTACTTAGTATATTTCAGTTGTCATAAGCATTTCCCGGATACTAGTTGAGGTATGTATTTTTCTCTATATTAACATCACACAAGTGAACACTTGTGTGTTTGGTCAAGGCTTGGTCCCTTTGGACAATGCTTGCTATATTTGTACTTTAGGGCAAAGTTAGGCAATTGTATTCCTTTGGACAAAGCTTTACAGATGTGTGCCTTTGGACAAAGCTTTACAATTGTGTCCCTTTGGACAATGCTTGCTATATTTGAGCCTTTGGACAAAGATTGACAGTTGTATACATTTGGACAAAGCTTGATAGTTCTGTATCTTTTGCGGAAATCTAGACAGTTTTGTGCCTTTGGACAATGTCTGACAATTGTGTGTCCTTGGAAAAAGTTTGACAGTTGTGCGCATTTGAATAAGACCTGATAGTTTTGTATGTTTTGATAAAGCTTGACAGTTTTGTCCCTTTGGACAAATAAAATACTTTTGACCGCGATGAATATAGCTAAAACTGCTTCTGTTCGCGATAAACTAAAATTACTATTGATCGCGATGAATTTGAATACATGTTCTTTTGACCGCGATAAATATAACTAAAACTACTTCAGTACGCGATAGAAATAACTGAAATTATTATTGACCGCGATGAAGATGAATAAACCTGCTTCTGACCACAATAAATATAAATAAAACTTCTTCTGTTCGCGATACAGATAACTAAAACTACTTTTGTTCGCGATACGGATAACTAAAACTACTTCAGTTCGCGATAAAGTTTACTGAAATTTTTATTGACTGCGATGAAGATGAATAAACCTACTTCGGACCGCGGTGAATAGCAATAAAACTACTTCTGTTCGCGATACAGATAACTAAACTTACTTCTGACCGCGATAAAGATAACAAAAATCACTTCTGTTCTCGATAAAGATAACTAAAATTTCTATTGGCCGCGATGAAGATAAATAAAAATACTTCTGACCACGATAAAGATAACGAAATTTACTATTGGCCGAGATGAAGATAAATAAAACTACTTCTAACAGCGATAAAGATAGCTACAACTACTTCTGTTCGCGATAAAGATAACTAAAATTACTATTCATCGCGATAAAGATGAATAAACCTACTTCTGACCACAATAAATATAACTAAAACTACTTCTGTTCGCGATACGGATAACTAAAACTACTTCAGTTCGCGATAAAGTTTACTGAAATTTTTATTGACTGCGATGAAGATGAACAAACCTACTTCGGACCGCGGTGAATAGCAATAAAACTACTTCTGTTCGCGATACAGATAACTAAACCTACTTCTGACCGCGATAAAGATAACAAAAATCACTTCTGTTCTCGATAAAGATAACTAAAATTTCTATTGGCCGCGATGAAGATAAATAAAAATACTTCTGACCACGATAAAGATAACGAAATTTACTATTGGCCGAGATGAAGATAAATAAAACTACTTCTAACAGCGATAAAGATAGCTACAACTACTTCTGTTCGCGATAAAGATAACTAAAATTACTATTCATCGCGATAAAGATGAATAAACCTACTTCTGACCACAATAAATATAACTAAAACTACTTCTGTTCGCGATACGGATAACTAAAACTACTTCAGTTCGCGATAAAGTTTACTGAAATTTTTATTGACTGCGATGAAGATGAACAAACCTACTTCGGACCGCGGTGAATAGCAATAAAACTACTTCTGTTCGCGATACAGATAACTAAACCTACTTCTGACCGCGATAAAGATAACAAAAATCACTTCTGTTCTCGATAAAGATAACTAAAATTTCTATTGGCCGCGATGAAGATAAATAAAAATACTTCTGACCACGATAAAGATAACGAAATTTACTATTGGCCGAGATGAAGATAAATAAAACTACTTCTAACAGCGATAAAGATAGCTACAACTACTTCTGTTCGCGATAAAGATAACTAAAATTACTATTCATCGCGATAAAGATGAATAAACCTACTTCTGACCGCGATACATATAATTAAACCTACTTCTGACCGCGATGAAGATAAATAAAAGTACTTCTGACCGCGATGAAGATAACTGAAACCTACTTCTGACTTATACAACTATATTATGGTTATCAGATTTATCTGGTATTTTGACCACGTTTTAAATGTCTCTATTTATTGACGCGGATCGGATACAACTACGTGTATTTACTGATATATTTCACTAGGAACTTAAACTCCAGAAGAAATTAATAATTCAAACTACGACGATAAACCTTTTTTTCACTTCCACCTGTTTATTTTTCAGCAATTGCACACAAAGAGGACATCTGTAGACACCCAAGGCTTCTCCGGACAGATGCATGCCTGATTGGACCTGTCAACTACATCGTATACATTATCGTTATCTCGAGAATTATCGAAACATGTTTTCCCCCCCTTTTTTTTAAATCGTATCATGTACTGATCACCAACGGAATTAAACCCAAACCACAGAAGCAACAATGTTCATCTAACATCTATTAAAAATGGCGATAACACTCGAAATTTGTGTGATAGACTTTTCATTTCTCAATGACAGTTAAATGTCCTTACTCGCTACAGTGGAAACCAAACTCGCACAAAATAAGTTCTAAATGTGAATGAAACAGAAATTCTAATTAATAAAACAACGGCAACAGGCTCTGCAAAACGATGTATAGTTAGGCATTTAAAACCTACATGGAGAATAAGACAAGCTTGTACAAAAACAAGTAGATAAAACATATTAACATATAAACTGAGAAATACATACTGTATATCCAGATAATGAGGTAAACTGCACAATACAGCTGTTTTATCTTCTAGGATTCGTCAGTGATGCTGAGGACGTAAAACCTAAGAGGCGACTAAAGGAAATCAAAATTGATCAAAAGCAATGTCGAATTACAGACGGGAATGCGCATTAACCTCATAAGTATATCTGATAATCTCAAAAGAACAAGTACATGTACGGGTAATTGAATTGAAGCGTTGCGTGTGAGTTACGAAAAAAACACCAACAGTGTCTACCATCTACAATCTTGATAATTGTACTAAAGACACTCAGGACAATAGAATATTTCAAAATAAGTTGAGAATTAGAGACCATAAAGCTTAATAACGATTTAAACTGCGTTTTACAGCTGTTTCCTCTCGGTATGACTCATCAGTGGTGCTGAGAGCCTTATGAGAGCTTTGTGGAGGGTATAATGTAATAAAAACCTTGGCCAAATAACAGTTACACGGCTTTCTCAAAAATGGAACTGTTGTAAAATGATATACTCACAACACGCGGACATCGAATACGGCGAACGCCATATCGCTAAAGGAGAAGATAAATCTTGATATTTCGATGTTAATCAACTAAATTCACTCATAATCTTTATCGGAAGGTATCTATCGATACCTGGAGTATCCGCCATTAGCAAACTACATCTGTAAGAACCAGACAATGTCTACATAATAAGTCAAAAACTATTGTCACACTGGTTTTATCCTCAGTGTATCTCATCTCGGTTGTGCTTGTACGTGTACCACCATTTGGCGTTTTGTTAAGACCTATTATAACTTGGCAGTGTACAAATATCATTGGAAAAGATATAAAAAAAATTTTGAAGTTCGATCTTAAATATTCAAATTCCGTTAAATCTACTTCTGGAATATGTATTAATGCAAATGAGTTTGGCAGTTATGCAACCCCTTTCCCATCCATCAGTCAGACATAAAACAAATCACTGTATTTCAAGTTTTGAAAACTTCCTCGATACCGGTGAAATAATATCTGTTATTTCAGTTTTTGGTTGTCATCGTACAATTGAGTCACCACTTGAAATTTGCATAGATTAAGAAAATTTGAATTTCGGTCAATATTTACAAGTTTTTGACATTTTTTCTGTTATAAACCATAGAGCGCATTACTTAATGTATAAAACATGTCGATATCAACAGCGAATGTTATACAACTTTAAAAGTATGTTCTTATATTACAATTACAATAGGCTTAATATGTCAGGTACAACTTAGAGCAAAACAGAGTTCACTTTATCTTTTCTCTCCCTGGTCAAAGTAAATGAAGCAGATATGGGGTTTCAAAATGGTCTAAGAAACAAATACAACAGCTGGTATGTGTTATCGGTAATCTCTGTATTCGTACATTTACAAACAGACATTTAAGTCCAAACGTGTACGTACACAAGCATACAGCGTCCTTTTTGTGCCAAAAATGAAAAAAAAGTATGGTTTATGAGGAAAATGCTACAATTTCACTTCTCATTTTACACACGCTGAGCTAAGTTGTTGTGAACACTAAGGAGCGCTTTGATTTTGGCAGTCAGCGCCATTTCCTTTGCGTCTCGCTCTTGTGTTCTAACATTATATGGTTCCTCTAATTCCATTGAGTCAGGCTGTAACTATTTTAAAGAGTGCCTCGATGACAACAATGAAATAGCTGGAGGCAAGATGTGTTTTGAAAAAACAGCCGCTGCTTGAATCATCCGTGATATGACTCTGCTACCCATCTGGATTTACTTATGAATCTATCAGGGTTAGCTTGTAGGTCGTCAAGTTTAGTCTACCAAGGGTATAGATAAGATGACATATTTGTTGCCAAACCACGTGATTCTAAATCTGGCAATAACGACGGTGTCCTCTTTCTCCAGTGAGGAGAGACAGTGATGGCTTTCGTATCTTCACATCATTATTGCCTCCAGGAATAGGTCCTACTGTGTCCAGAATATAACTATCAGGCATAGCTATACTCATGATCTTTAAATAGTTCCGCTTCTTCTGGCCACAGTAGGAGATTCTTCTGAGGTTTTAAGTTCTGATTACAACCCCAAATAAATATCCTAATAAGGAATACCGTCGAGTATGACAGTCATCCGCTGGCCAAGAAATGTTTTTGGGAACACCGCGTTGAGCTCCAGAATATTTGTTCTTGTGAGATGTTCACGTCCAAAGAACAACGATTATTTCTAATACTTTATTATGGAATGAAATGTTTTCGATGTACTGGAATTTGAACGTTAAAAAGAGTTGAACACTGTTTCCATGATATACCCTTCTTCATGTTTGCTCAGAACAACAGTATTGCATCCTTGTGGTTTGGAGTACAAATACCAGTGCTAGTGGAGGATGAACAATAAGAAAGAGTTTTTAGAAACTATATTCTTTATCAACCAGTTCAGGCTTGACAATCCGCATCATCCAGAGAGGAGAAACGCAGAGTAGAAGAAGACTCCTCCTTTGATATCATATGTGATATCTCCAAGGATATTTCCGATGATCCGGAAGGTAGCTGGGAAGTCAACATTTCTCTTTCATCAGTGCTGATTTCAACGTTACGGTTAAGACATTTTTCTACGAGATGACGTGAACAAATACGTGAGGATCAAGAACGCCACATCTTGTAATGAAAGTTGGGTTGGTGATTTGCGCTTGAGCAATATGGTCACGTTTTTCTTTTATTGAAACTCTTCATATATAGTGTGCATTTTGCGTGTTAAGACTGGCCATAAAATAGACCCTCTATAGATAATAGTGGGATGTTTCTCCACGTATCATCATCGACAACAACGTTTTGACCCTTAAGTTGTGGCTTTCTTTTCTGATAATTCTTAAAACACTTAACACACTTATCAATCTCTTGATCAACGCTAAAATTATTGACATCTGCTTTGAAAACATCAAACAACCAATTGTGCTGGGGAAGTCTTATATTTCTAGGAGATTTCTTGGTTTTAATGTCTCTCCTAAAGACAACGTTACAACCCGCACATGTGCCTCTCATTGCGCGATCGGGACTGTATTAGGTGTTTAAGTCTCCGTCTTACTAGAAAATATAGAAAGTAATGTCAAGGACAACTGGATATAGTTGCATATATGGTGTATATAAGGTATTGTTTGAAGATAGTTACTATCGGTCATATAATTTATTTTATTTTATTTTAAAAATATTTTATTCATTATTACAACAAAGTAACAGACATATTTTTGCATGTTGAGACAGAAAAACAAGCTACGAGCTTATAATAATTATATCATTATTTTTTATTTTTATTTTTTTTCAAGTTAATTCGTAAATTACATAAAGACCAGACAGCATACACACTCGCTTTCACACATAACATTATGTAATACATAAGGATGTATAACATGTTTCATCATCATCATCATCATCATCATCATCATCATCATCATCATCATCATCATCATCATCATCAATCCACTCATTTATACTGTTATATAGTTACCTGTACGTATGATTACTTCATTTTCATTTCAAAATTATACACATCCATATTGTCAATAGTTATCACTTATATTACACACACATCCACACTTACACACCTTCACACACATACAAACCCACATCATAAATACATGTCCTCACATTTTAGAAAAAAGAGGAGAAAAGTATGGCTAAGGCAGGAAGGGGAAGAGAAAGAAAAGACAAGATCAGAGAGGCACAGTTTCACGGTATATAAATATAAAAGTGTTTAAAACAGTGAGGTAATCGGGCGAAACCAGGGTTAAAATGATCATAAAAAAGTATTTAAAGTTGCCAACTAGAACCAAAATCATAAATTAGAGTTATTTATATAAGGATAATTAATCATACTAATATTGATAATGATAAAAAAAATCTTCAATCAGCTCACTTTTACTGTTATATTCAACGTTCTAACTATGCTAGACATATAGTCATTCAAGAACATGTACCAGGGGTTGTTATATATTAGGAAAGGCATATGTTTACATGAAGGTTTGAAGTGTTACATGGTGGTCTCCTATGTCTACTATCGTTCAACAAGTCATTGGGGTGCTACACATCAAAGCCAGTAATTAACATTTGCACAAATGGTGATGTTTCGATCTTTGGGTAGGGTTAGGGTAAGAGATCAAGCTATCTATATGCTAAATAATTGTGAATGGACTGAATCTGGAAGACATTCAAAATGTCATTTGTTCACAAAAAGAATGACGTTTTCCTCGTGAAATGCTTAAAAATTAATAATATTTTCGGTATATTTACTGTTTAAGTATTTTGGTATTTAGTTTATGGTTCGAACTTTCCTATTTTGTTAAGACAAATAATTTATCATTCTTTATCTGTTTTGCGACAACGAATCAATACATGGTGATTGGTCTCGAACTTCGGAAGAAGTAAAAATCTTTAGGTCGACCTCTAAGGGAAATTAGCATTGCTGACCTCTATCGGGAAATTAGCATTGCTGACCTCTATGTGAAATTAGCATTGCTGACTTCTATTGGGAATTAGCATTGCTGACTTCTATGGAAAATAAGCATTGCTGACCTCTATGGGGAATAAGCAAAAGTGACCTTTATGGGAAATTAGCACTCCTGATCTCTATGGGGAGGTAGCATTGCTGATCTCTATGGGGGAATATGCAATGGTGACCTCTATGGGGAAACTAGCATTGCTGATCTCTATGGGGAATTAGCATTGCTGATTGTAACGTGAGTTCGGCACTCATGGGAAAAAACCACAAGAAATAGTGCAATACAGATATATACAAGTTTATTTACACTACATACACTAAATATAGACAATAACACACTCGCATTCACCCACTCTATCTTCCACGCCTCTAAATGTAATACTACAGTCTCTTCACACACTGCGAGTCTTTTCACATTTCTCTGAGGAAATACAGTCACCCAGTGGTCTTTACAGGTCCCGACTCGTCGTTCACCAGCTCGAGACGGCGCACAAAATGCATACAAAATTTAGCCCACGGCTAACACAATAAACAGAATAGCATATGCCTATCAGCATCATAGGTCCCTCTCAGACCAGGATCTACAACATCAACAGTGCCAACATAGCTCGCCTGACGTCTGGTCTGAACGTCCTGGTAGCTGACCACCGTGTCCCTGGTAGTTGCTGTTGCAACACTGCCTACATAGCCCGCCTGACGTCTTGTCTGAACGTTCAGGTAGCTGACCACCGTGTCCCTGGTAGTTGCTGTTGCAACACTGGCCGGTCCCGCTGCATACCAGTCTGTTGCAGGCTTTGGGTAGCCTAACTTAGTTGTCTGCCCGTCGTGTGAAGCTATAATAAACATGACAAAATGTCATAAACACTCACGCACATCCATACTTTAATCCAACGAATACATTCCTTAACTTACTATATAATTTACCATCAATTCATCTTCCCTTTATAAATACTAAACCTAATTGTACATATACCCCTACAAACATATTAAAGTCTAGGATGCGTGGCCATTTTCTTATAATAATAACAATGCCAAAACGCACGTATCACCGCAACCATATATGCTACTGAGTGGCTTCCGTACTTTTTACACCTGCGCGCACTCAACCCAAACACAGGTAAATAGAACTACTACTCAGGGCTTCCATAGATAAACTACTTGAACAAAATCACGTTACTAAGTAATATACGCTTAAAGGCAACTAAATTACTTTTACATATCAACACATTACTATAATACCACATAAATCCTAATTACCTAATACTGTTAATTATGACATTTAAAACCACCACACCTGTATACTATAACAGCAAATAGTTACGCTCGAGTGGACACACACACGCACACGTGACTAATTCACTCGCCATTCACAATAACAAAAAGATGTACCTGCGTTCGTGACACTGACCTCTATGGGGAATAAGCAATGGTGACCTCTATAGGAAACTAGCATTGCTGATCTTTATGGGAAATTCGCATTGCTGATCTCTATGGGGAATAAGCATTACTGACCTCTATAGGAAACTTGCATTGCTGATCTTTATGGGAAACTAGCATTGCTGATCTTTATGGGAAATTAGCATTGCTGACCTCTATGGGGAATAAGCATTGATGACCTCTATAGGAAACTAGCATTGCTGATCTTTATGGGAAATTAACATTGCTGACCTCTATATTGAATAAACAATTGTGATCTCTATTGGAATTAACATTAACAATACACACACTAGAATGGCATCATACAATGTTAAATCATGAAATAAAACACAAGATGCAAATGATTTCAGTCCGCATTTCAAAAATACATGTATCCATCAAAAGAAATGCTCGATAAATTTTTATTTTAGGCAAAAGGCGTAATTAAGCTCTTGCTTGACAACACCCCACCACCCCCTCCCACTGTGTCCTTGGACAATGTCTTATTTTTGGCGTTCAGTTAAAGGCATGTGAAGAGGACTTTTGTGTTCTATCCCCTTGTCGATGCGTTACGACTCATTGCTTATACTCTCAGCACTATGGTAACGACTATCAGACTGTCAGCGTAATGTGGTCTTGTTGTGGTGTTCTGCCGGGGCCATTTGGCAGAAGAAATGTTTACAATTGATATTTGGATTCATGTAATGTTAATTTGGAATATTTTTATTCCTTATTTGACTAAAAGGTTTCTTTCTTTCTTTTTACATTTAAACAAATACTGATATTCGTGTCCTGATTTATTTTCATTACACACTCTTCACTTTCTTTCATCACAATGGTTTCTTATCCAACAGCCAATTTCCAGAGGCGGTGGAAACTTTAATTACTAAGTTTAAAGACATTTAATTACCTCCCTTGATACTTTAGAGTTACCATCACTTTGTTGCAGAGAGTGAAAGTGATGGTAACCCCTGGAATATCGATCTTGACACCCTTATCTTTGATGTTTGTTTGTTCTTTAAAAGCCTTATTTTCTTTTCTCTTCTTTTGCTCTTTAAATTTTTTTAAACTGTCAAATCCAAGATGGTCGTTTTTTCTGATGAGACCCAAAAGCAGAAGGGAACAACTAGGAACAGAGGAATGTTATAACCTATACATATGGTATGTGAGAATGATTCAACCAGTACTTTTATTGACAAACTCCAAGATGGCCGCCTCTCAGCAATTTTCTTTTAACGTGATGTCACTCCCAAAATCAAAAGGGCACAACTAGGCACCAACATATGAAATTTAAAAAAATATCCATCCTGTACTTTTATTGTCAAAATTCAAGATGGTCGGCTATCGGCTATTTTCTTTTCCCGTGATATCAGTCCCAAAATTATAAAGACCAATTAGAGACCAAGGTAACCTTCTTTGAGAAAGATCCGTCCTGTGTACATCAAAGAGCGACAACAATAATTGTCTACGGATGTGGGAGTAGATACCTTTTTACGGGTAATGTCCTGGAGGACAGAAGGACACCCCACACACCTCGATGGAGGACAGAAGGACACCCCTCCGTGGAGGACAGTCAAAGGGAGGGAACTCCCTTCTGTCCTCCAGGACATTACCCGTAAAAGGTATCTACTTGTGGTGCTATTTGAATATCTCAGCGTCTGCTTAAAATCGTTGTTAAAGAAATAAACAAGTATATACACAAACGTTGTTAAAGAAATAAACAAGTATATACACAAACACACACATATTTAGGTGTAGGCTTAGTCGATCTTTCATAAACCGATAAGTTCACTGCTATATATTTTAATTTCCGATAACTTTCCCGCCAACTACTCTAAATCGAGAACGAGGTAATTGTTGGAGCAGGCATGACCTTTCACTTTGATTTGACCTCTCACCCATTAAGAAAACATTCCAAGATGGCGGAACTCGCAGTAGACAGAGACGTCAACACAAAACTATGGAATACACAATTGTTTGGTTTGTATTTTATGGTATACTTATCGGAAGAACTAGACAAATGTTTATTCTATATAGATATTTACATTGTCCTTAATCATTACCATTGTTAGAGTGACATCCATTCAACAACTCCTCAAAACTTTTATCATTGCGTGACGGATACGGAAGGGACATTAGGGTCACCGATGACAATGTAAAATGGCGTGATGCACATGTGAGTCAGTATTTCTCGGCTGGTTAAGAAATGTCTAAACTGACAGTCATATCCCGTATCCGATAGCTAGACTAGCCAATCAGCTGACCGAAATATAATCTCCTAACCCTCTGTTTTGGTTTCAAGATGTGTCTCATTCTCTACATCTCTCTCTTTTTTCCTTTATTTTTCATTCTAGTCTCATTGTCAGCTCTCAGGTGTGATTATTCAGTCAGTTTTTACCTTGACCAGCAGTCTTTATTTATTTTAAACATTTATCATCAGTATTAATTAAAGAGACATTCTTATTCCCTCATTCAATGTCAGAAATATGTATGTTACATTATTTTTCATATGTGATGATCTAAGCATGGAATTTATCAATGGGTTTTACGTCTACTATTATGACCTTTGGTCTTTCAGTGGATGAGTCTGTTATATCTTAACATTGTCTTTATTTGTATGCGTGACATCACATGACATATACATCTATATAGCACAGCAAAGTGTTTTGATTTCCTACCCTACAGTCAATTGTTACATGTAAAGAGGAGTTGAAATATGGTGTAAAATTTGGCTTGAACTATGGTAAAGATATACATATACTTAAAACCATTAAATAAAATGGTTGCAAGAGTGAATTACAGATTTCATGTCTCAATGGCAGCTAGTTAAACCTTGATTATAATGTCTTTACGTATGAAGGTCTAATTGAAGCGGAACCATTTGTTTTCATTCGTCTGAAGTCAGTTAATCAACTCTGTTAACCTTCAGACATCTTTACTGATGTTAAATGACTTTCCTGTCACTAACCTATCCATTTTGTTGTTTGTTTCTGAAAATAACTGACCCAAGATTTTAGTGATATTCTGGATAGTCTCTGCCAGCTAATTAGTGAAATGTACCCGTCAGCAAATTGATTTGTATTTTACTACAACAGCTTTCAATTGATTATACCATCCTTAATACTCCAGGGGTTATGATCACTTTCACTCTTTGCGCCCATAGAACTTATTGTGGCAAAATCAAAGGTATAAGGAAAGTAAGTTGATTGGTTACAGGATGAAAAACTGACCAATCACAGGCTGATATGCTCCTTTTAAAGAATACAAACAGGGCGTCCATCTTCAAAGCCATTACAATATACTGTTATGCCACTTTGAGATTTGCTTGATGTACAAAGGATCAAAATTGGCGAAAGTGGTCGTAACCCTTGTAGTATCGAGGATGTAGTGATCATAACCCCTGGAATATTGAGGATGCTGACTGTACATGCTAGTATTTAAGCTTGCTTAGGGGATAAATCTTTATACTTCTGGTTGAAGTTGATGCTTCAAGTTTTTGTAATTTTAAGAACTTGGGATTACTTTAAGTCTTTAACTGTTTTCACTACTTTAGAAAAATACAGGTTTTTCATTTTATTTTATTTCTATGACTGAAAATTGCTTCAACTGTGAAATGCAGTTTTTAGGATTAAAATTCTATCTTGATTAGGTTATTGCTGAAAACATTGAAATCATCTGAGTTCTGTTGTAGTAACAATCTTTTGATTAAATACTGTCGCTGATAGTTCAACATTAAATCTAATTTTGTATGATTTGAAAGAATTCCAGAATATTTGTTTAATGTTGTTGGGACTGTGCGAAGGTTTACTGTAATCCTCCCATTTGTTTATAGGTAAACCTTAGTACAGGATAATTAGAATTGATGGAACGGGGGAAGCTGGTTATGTAACATTTACTGGAGATCAGATGAAGTTATCCCGCAGTAACATTGAACAAAATAGAAAGTTAATTCTTGTATTTACAGTTTTTCCTTCTTCCTTAAAACACGCAGTTGTGTTTTAATTCATGCTAACTACTTTTTAAATATTCCCACAATGATGTCAGTTTAAGGACACTGAAGTTGAGTTTTGTGATGTAACAAGATAGGATTAATTATTTTTGCATTATTTCTACAGCAGAGATTATATGTTTGCATAACTGATCCTTTTTTGTGTATTTCAGCATGATGTGACAGTAATAGTAGACCTTTATGTAGATGTAGGAGGCTGATCTCTGACGGTAACTATGGTTACACACGCCAAACTCCAGTATTACCGACACAACTATGGCCTGGTGTGTATCACTGGGTCACTGGGGTGTCGCTGGCATCGATATAAACAGTCCCTGCGTGATAACAGAAAGGTCAGTTCATGTTTGTCTTTGTTAGTGCCGTTTTGTTTTGTTTTACTTTATATCTAGAGACTTGGCTTGTAAGGCATGAATTTTTCATTAAGTAAAGGTCAAGATTTCCTAATCTGATATAACTTAATCATATTGTCATAAGCCTGGAGGGAGGGATGGGGAGGAGTGGAGAACACTTTAACTTAAATTCAGGTGATAGAATTATGAAGTTTTTACATGAAAATGAATTTATATTTGTTGGCATATTGAATGAATATCAATTGTTATGAATGGGCTTATCACCAGCATTGAGTTAGTTGCAGGTTAACTACAGCTGTTTCTATCATGTAATAAACCTGTAAGGCTGACAATTCACTCCTCATCTACAGTCACATTAAATACAGCTGTTTCTATCCTGTAATAAACCTGTAAGGCTGACAATTCACTTCTCTCCCACAGTCACATTAACTACAGCTGTTTCTATCCTGAAATAAACCTCTAAGGCTGACAATTCACTCCTCATCTACAGTCACATTAACTACAGCTGTTTCTATCCTGTAATAAACCTGTAAGGCTGACAATTCACTCCTCATCTACAGTCACATTAACTACAACTGTTCCTATCCTGTAATAAACCTGTAAGGCTGACAATTCACTCCTCATCTACAGTCACATTAACTACAGCTGTTCCTATCCTGTAATAAACCTTTAAGGCTGACAATTCACTCCTCTCCCAGAGTCAGGTGATGAACATATTGATGGTACAGGGTGTAAATCTGCCTCAGAGTAATTCTTTTTTCTTTATAAACACTCAATTATGAATTTTTAGTGACAGATTTCTGTTTTATGATAATGTTGTGTTTACTTACAGAGGGACTTTTGTGTATTTGGGATCATGTTGTTGACTTTCCTATTTCTCACCTTCCTCCTGTATGTTGTCCTGATATCCAGAAACGACTTTGATAGCTTTAATTGGTGAGTAAATACACATTAAAAGATAGTTTTTAACGTCACTGTATGCAAAAGACTGTTTTGTTTCAGCATTATTGATCAAAACATCATCAACTAATTCCATGTAGACTTAATGAAACTTAGTTGTGATTGAATTTGTATGATAAGTTTGCATTGCTTAATAATGATATTGAATGTGTATTATATTTATATCCCAGACAAAAATTGAAATAAAGTGATGCATTATCAGTTTACAAATTCTAGGCTTTTTGGAGCAGATGATGGTGCTTATTCCCAATTAAAATTATTTTATATTGAAATCATGTTCGCAAAATTTCCAGTTTACTCCTGAAAATTCCTTCACAGTGGATGTAATTTCTTTCCAAAATGAGGTAGAAATGCTGAATCCCAAACCAGTGTATAAACCATGAATATTTACGGTGATATATTTCATCTACATATATCTTGTTTCTTTTCAGGTTTATGTATGAATCATTCAAGAGCTGGGCACCGTATTTTGTTATACTGCTATCTGTGATCTGTGTCCTTTTTACATACGTCACTATACTAATGGTAAGTAAGATATTCTGTCTGTTACAATTTACTGTTAAAGTATTACTATACACAGCCAATATTTCATAACATAATCTATTTCAACATTGAAAAAAAGAAAATGAAAAATAATTTTAACGTTTCCATGTTAATATTTTTCAACGAGTATTAATGTTTATTTAAAATACTTAGGAATATGATTGTTCAAAAATTTTAATGCTGAAATGGTATCAAAATACAATATTATTCTGATGATGAATATTTTTAATGTTATCTCAGTGTTACAATTTTGAAATCATTTTAACTTAATATTTTGATCAACTTTAAATATTGACTTTTCAGCATTAATTTTTTTTATATGTTAATCAACTTTGTGAAAAGTTGTTAGTATACATTTGTTAGCATACTGTACAATGAGGAAATTTAGTGAAGTTTTAATATTAGTGATTCTTGCACAAAATTTTTCTAGTGTGAAATTATCAAAATTGACATTGGGTATATACACCACGAAAATTAAAACATGTATAACAACCACTGATGCTTAACTATTTCAAATTGTTTTAAACACTTGTTGACAATAAAAATTCACATCAGAGTATTTACAATGATTTAAATGAGTAGGTCATTGTTGTGTGCTTTGCAACAATTGTATTGTTTAGAAGGTACATACATCATGGATATTGATATGCCCTCAACCAAAGGTGTGCAACATTACTTGATAATTAGTCAGAATATTTGTTTCATCAGTTGTATAATATTTCATGGTATTTTTCAGCTCCTGTCCCTTTGTCACATCATACATGGTCACCAGCTTTATATACACCCAACACATGTTATATTTATCTTCATCTGTCTGGCCTGCTGTATTGCTGGAACGGTCAGCTACTCAGAATTATGGGTCACTGAATGGTTCGTTGTTTGGCTTTCTCTCAAGGTAGGTCATGGTCCCTGGATCACATGATCAAATTTAATTTTAGAGATATGTTACTACAACAAAAATCTATTGATATTTTGGCAATCATTGGCAAGTTAAAGTCACCTGAAATTAGTCAAGTCTCTCTGCTGTTTATAAAATTGAGCTCTTTCTTTTCAATAATTTTGTTTGTTTCTGAATAATTAGTGAAACTATGGTGTATATTTACAAATTGATTATGATTTTTGAAAATGAAGTGACCGAGCGTCTAATACATGGAGTCAGTCTAATACATGTTGTCTATTCTATTTATTTTAGGTTATTGGTCCATTCCTACAAATAGGAAGTGTGATTTTGATGACCATGTTGTCATATATTATCATAGGACAGTGGTTCACTCTGTCTAAGTGGTGTAAGTACTCAGTATTTCATTGGTTGTTGACTGAAATGTATTGTACCAGCATCATCTGTAAATTACAGTATGCTCTGTAGATGAAGTCACCACAATTCATCTTCCTGTAGACTATGACCACCACTAATCTTGTCTATATTGACCCTAGCCACCACTTATCCTGTTAATATAGACCCTAGTCACCACTAATCCTATTTATATAGACCTTAGCCACCACTTATCCTGTTTATATAGACCTTAGCCACCACTAATCCTGTTTATATAGACCCTAGCCACCACTAATCCTGTTTATATAGACCCTAGCCACCACTAATCCTGTTTATATAGACCCTAGTCACCACTAATCCTGTTTATATAGACCCTAGCCACCACTAATCCTGTTTAGATAGACCCTAGTCACCACTAATCCTGTTTATATAGACGCTAGCCACCACTGATCTTGTTTATATAGACGCTAGCCACCACTGATCTTGTTTATATAGACCCTAGCCACCATTAATCCGGTTTATATAGACCCTAGTCACCACTAACTTTGTTTATATAGACCCTAGTCACCACTAATCCTGTTTATATAGACCCTAGTCACCACTAATCCTGTTTATATAGACCCTAGTCACCACTAACCTTGTTTATATAGACCCTAGCCACCATTAATCCGGTTTATATAGACCCTAGTCACCACTAACCATGTTTATATAGACCCTAGTCACCACTAATCCTGTTTATATAGACCCTAGTCACCACTAATCCTGTTTATATAGACTCTAGTCACCACTAATCCTGTTTATATAGACCCTAGTCACCACTAATCCTGTTTATATAGACCCTAGCCACCACTAATCCTGTTTATATAGACGCAAGCCATCTCTAAACCTGTTTATATAGACCCTAGTCACCACTAATCCTGTTTATATAGACCCTAGCCACCACTGATCTTGTTTATATAGACCCTAGCCACCACTAATCCTGTTTATATAGACCCTAGCCACCACTAATCCTGTTTATATAGACCCAAGCCACCACCTCTAATCTTGTTTATATAGACACTAGTCACCACTAATCCTGTTTATATAGACGCTAGCCATCACCACTGATCTTGTTTATATAGACCCTAGTCACCACTTATCCTGTTAATATAGACCCTAGTCACCATTAACTTTGTTTATATAGACCCTAGTCACCACTAATCCTGTTTATATAGACCCTAGTCACCACTAACCTTGTTTATATAGACCCTAGTCACCACTAACCTTGTTTATATAGACCCTAGCCACCACTAATCCTGTTTATATAGACCCTAGTCACCACTAATCGTATTTATATAGACTCTAGTCACCACTAATCCTGTTTATATAGACCCTAGTCACCACTAATCCTGTTTATATAGACCCTAGCCACCACTAATCCTGTTTATATAGACCCTAGTCACCACTAATCCTATTTATATAGACCCTAGTCACCACTAATCCTGTTTATATAGACCCTAGCCACCACTAATCCTGTTTATATAGACCATAGCCACCACTAATCCTGTTTATATAGACCCTAGTCACCACTAATCCTGTTTATATAGACCCTAGCCACCACTAATCCTGTTTATATAGACCATAGCCACCACTAATCTTGTTTATATAGACCCTAGTCACCACTAATCCTGTTTATATAGACCATAGCCACCACTAATCCTGTTTATATAGACCCTAGTCACCACTAATCCTATTTATATAGACCCTAGTCACCACTAATCCTGTTTATATAGACCCTAGCCACCACTAATCCTGTTTATATAGACCATAGCCACCACTAATCCTGTTTATATAGACCCTAGTCACCACTAATCCTGTTTATATAGACCCAAGCCACCACCTCTAATCTTGTTTATATAGACCCAAGTCACCACTTATCCTGTTTATATAGACCAAAGCCACCACCATTAATCTTGTTTATATAGACCCACCACTAATCCTGTTTATATAGACCCTAGCCACCACTTATTCTGTTTATATAGACGCTAGCCATCTCTAAACCTGTTAATATAGACACTAGTCACCACTAATCCTGTTTCTGTAGACTCTAGCTGCTATTATTACTCTTTATATTGATCCTAGTTACCACTAATCCTGTTTCTGTAGACTCTAGCTGCTATTATTACTGTTTATATTGATCCTAGTTACCACTAACCTTGTTTCTGTAGACTCTAGCTGCTATTATCACTGTTTATATATATTGATTCTAGTTACCACTAATCCTGTTTCTGTAGACTCTAGCTGCTATTATTACTGTTTATATTGATCCTAGTTACCACTAATCCTGTTTCTGTAGACTCTAGCTGCTATTATTACTGTTTATATTGATTCTAGTTACCACTAATCCTGTTTCTGTAGATTCTAGCCATCAATAATCCTGTATCCGTAGACTCTTAACAGTTATCATGAAAACAGACCTCAGTGAGCATTTATTCTTTAACCTTTTTCCAGTTTGTAATTATATCATAGGTGGTCATGTTAATTGATAAAGTATGATTAAAGGTCTGTAAAGGTATTGTTTCCTTTTTTAGACTTACAGATGCTGTGGTTGTGCGTTTATTTATCTGTGATGGTTGGACTGTATATATCACCATTGTTTATTGACTCACCCTGTGTTGTGGCAACGTCCAGGCTCCCACCTAAGCCATCTATAATAGGCCACAAAGGGGCATCTGGGGTAAGTTGTTGTCAGACTGAATCCCAGTGCATTCATAAAACACATATATCTAGGATAACTGACCTTTTACTCCTGACACCGACATTAGATATCATGGAACTAAACAGATATTTTTGATAGTTGATTTTTAACCTTTTCACGAACACTAGATAATTTAGAACAAAATAGAAAAATATATCATAGGTAATTGATCTTCTTTTCTACCCCATCAGACTTAAATAACCACTCTCAGTGAGTGTAAGATATCTCTGTGTTGCTAGGGTAATACAGCCTGCATGCAGAGAAGAAAAACATGTGCTAAACTGTTCATTTTAGACGTGAGAGAATTGGTTGATCAATATTGTTATATCTCAACACAGAGAAGTACAGTGTACAAGAACCATCACTCTCTTTTGCATGATTTAGAAGTTATTGCCCTTTGTTATATTTCGTACTTAAATTTTGTCTAGAACATTACGCTAAAACTATAAGAGGTCTACACATGAATCTTAATAGGTAGATAGTTCTTGAAAAAGAGGGCAGTGCACGAGAATCATAACTCTCTTATTGCCCTTTGTTATTTTTCATATTTAAATTTTGTCCCATTCAATACAATTGAAAAAGCTTAATTTTTCATTGCCCTTGATAAGATTTATTGTTATATTTCAGATTGCCCCAGAAAATACAATGATCTCATTTGAGGTTGCTGAACAATATGGAGTTTTAGGATTTGAAACTGATGTGAGAATCAGGTGAGGCAAAATAAACCTATCATAAAAAACCAAAATATCTTTTTCTGTGTGAGACTGAAAAGTTTTTGATGTCCTCTCATATCTCTACATTAAAATGGTAATTCCATCCTCCACTGTAACTGTGAAACCACATTGTGAAGTTGTATTGTAACATGACATAATTTGAATTTAATATGCTTAATTGTCCTTTCTACTGTGATGAGTATGTGTATATTGTATGATTTCACACAATGAATGATTAAAGCTGTGTAATAAGATAAGGCCTATGTGTTATCATTATATTGTATTTTATCTTACAGTTTTGATGGTGTGCCATTTTTACTTCATGATTCAACTTTTGCAAGAACTACAAATATTGCCGATGTCTTTCCTGATTTGATAGAAACAGATTCTTCATTGTTTAACATATCTCAGATAAAACAATTAGATGCTGGTTCTTGGTTTATCAAGGTAAGGTCATTGTAACATCATCAATCTGAAATTAGATCATGGTTGATGGATCTTAAATATAACATTTTGGACCTGAACCTTGGTATATATCATTAAGGTAAGATCATTGATCATATACTGGATCTGGATCTTAGATGACAGATCTGAATATAAAATTCAGGGACTGAGTATTGGTAGACTTGTGGGATTTCATGTCTTGTCATGATGCATGCACATTGTGTGTACATTAGAAAAACTGTATGGACAAGGTATGCATTATGTGTGCACAAAGTTTTTGGTCTGTTGTGCAATCCCACAACTGTATGTAGTTTTCTGTTTTACCACTAAGAGGATTAAGTTTGAAATATTATTTTTATTTTTTTTATACAGACCAACCCGATGATGACTTTAGGTAGTGTTTCTACAGAGAGAAGGACACTTTACAAACAACAGAAGGTTCCTACGTTTCTTGAGTATCTCCAGTTTGCCAACAAAACAGACAAGATTGTTATGTTTAATACCTATCATCCTTCCAAATCAAATCCATTTTATACAGACATAGGACCTATTCATGATGCCATACATCAGTCTGGCATAAATCCTAAGAAGGTATTTATACAAGAAGCACAGAAAGATATAAATTCGTGATACTGCCGTAGTATGAAATTTGTCCTAACTTGCTCCAGGTTATAAGGTCCTCTTGTTAATAACATGGGAAATTATCCCACTCATGAGACATATTTTTCTCCTCAATTTCATTTCCTTTTACTGTAATTTACCTTTTCATAAGCAAATTTTTTGTTATTCTCAATATCCTTATATAATACCATATTTCATTTATTCTCAATAGCGTTCATCATACTCATTATCTATTGATACTCAATAGCCATTAGTCATGCTCAAAAGCCATTTATCATACTCAAGTGTTTGTCATCCTACTCAGCAATTTATCATACTCAAGTATTAATCATACTCAATAGCCATTTATCATACTCAAGTGTTAATCATACTCAATAGCCATTTATCATACTCAACTGTTTGTCATTATACTCAGCCATTTATCATACTCAACTGTTTATTATATTCAATAGGCATTCATCATACTCAAGTGTTTGTCATCATGCTCAGCCATTTATTTTACTCAACTGTTAATTATACTCAATAGCCATTGAACTCAATAGGTATTCATCATACTCAATATTCATTTATCATATTCAGTATCATTTAGTAGCTATTTATCTTATCCAAAAGTCATTTATCATATTCAGTAGCTATTCATTACACTCAATTGCAATTTAGTATATTCAGTAGCCATTTATCATACTCAAATTCAATATCTGTTAATGATACTCAACATCCATAGTTCATACTGATCTCTCCTAAATGCATTTCCAGCAATTTTGTTTTATTATTGTACATTAATGCTTTACTATTGTCTGGTCAGGTATGGTGGTTGACGAATGTGGGTAACAAATTCAGTGAAAAGTATACACCAGTTGTACAAGAATACTCACCTCCAGATGTTCTCCATAGGAAACACATCTACAACGCTAATTTACCTTATAGTGGCATCTCTTTGGACCAGATTAGGTTTGTAAATATATCACTTTTTAAGTAAGTAATTATGTATAAGTCTAATATTCTTAACTGTACTGTAGACCTTGAATAGATCATATGGAACAGATCATCTCTGATATATAAAGTGTTCAGCCAAAAGTCCAGAAAGTATCAGATAAAGTGACAGATCCAAATACAGAATGAATGTTAATTATGTTTAAATTACTAAATAGAAATATTGATAATAAGTTCTGACATTTCTATCTTTTGTTCTTGTTGTTTTGTCCTCACTGTGTTTCTGTTATATCCACTTAGTTAATGTTGTAACCACATTGTTCCCTCTGTTACCACTTTGTCCTCACTGTGTTTCTGTTATATCCACTTAGTTAATGTTGTAACCACATTGTTCCCTCTGTTACCACTTTGTCCTCACTGTGTTTCTGTTACATCCACTTAGTTAATGTTGTAACCACTTTGTTCTCTCTGTAACCACATTGTTCCCTCTGTTACCACTTTGTCCTCACTGTGTTTCTGTTATATCCACTTAGTTAATGTTGTAACCACATTGTTCCCTCTGTTACCACTTTGTCCTCACTGTGTTTCTGTTATATCCACTTAGTTAATGTTGTAACCACATTGTTCCCTCTGTTACCACTTTGTCCTCACTGTGTTTCTGTTATATCCACTTAGTTGATGTTGTAACTACTGTGTTCTCCCTGTAACCACTTTGTTCTCCCTGTAACCACTTTGTTCTCACTGTGTTCCTGTTATATCCACTTAGTTGTTGTTGTAACCACTTTGTTCTCCCTGTAACCACTTTGTCCTCACTGTGATCCTGTTATATCCACTTCGTTGATGTTGTAACCACTTTGTTCTCTCTGTAACCACATTGTTCCCTCTGTTGCCACTTTGTCCTCACTGTGTTTCTGTGATATCCACATAGTTGATGTTGTAACCACTTTGTTATCTCTGTAACCACATTGTTCCCTCTGTTGCCACTTTGTCCTCACTGTGTTTCTGTTATATCCACTTAGTTGATGTTGTAACCACTTTGTTCTCCCTGTAACCACTTTGCAATTTTTGCATTTTAATGGTGATGTTCCTGCGGTTACCTTTGTTGATGCTGTAAACACTTTGTTCCTGCTGTGGTCTTTGTTGATGCTGTAACCACTTTGTTCCAGCTGTGGTCTTTGTTGATACTGTAACTACTTTGTTCCTGCTGTGGTCTCTGTTGATACTGTAACCACTTTGTTCCTGCTGTTGTCTTCGTTGATACTGTAACCACTTTGTTCCTGCTGTTACCTTTGTTGATGCTGTAACCACTTTGTTCCTGCTGTTGTCTTTGTTGATACTGTAACCACTTTGTTCCTGCTGTTACCTTTGTTGAAGCTGTAACCACTTTGTTCCTGCTGTTGTCGTTGTTGATACTGTAACCACTTTGTTCCTGCTGTTGTCTTTGTTGATACTGTAACCACTTTGTTCCTGCGGTTACCTTTGTTGATACTGTAACCACTTTGTTCCTGCTGTGGTCTTTGTTGATACTGTAACCACTTTGTTCCTGCTGTTGTCTTTGTTGATACTGTAACTACTTTGTTCCAGCTGTGGTCTTTGTTGATACTGTAACCACTTTGTTCCTGCTGTTGTCTTTGTTGATACTGTAACCACTTTGTTCCTGCTGTTGTCTTTGTTGATATTGTATTTTGTTCCTGCTGTGGTCTTTGTTGATGCTGTAACCACTTTGTTCCTGCGGTTACCTTTGTTGATACTGTAACCACTTTGTTCCTGCTGTGGTCTTTGTTGATACTGTAACCACTTTGTTCCTGCTGTGGTCTTTGTTGATGCTGTAAACACTTTGTTCCTGCTGTGGTCTTTGTTGATGCTGTAACCACTTTGTTCCTGCTGTGGTCTTTGTTGATGCTGTAACCACTTTGTTCCTGCTGGGGTCTTTGTTGATACTGTAACCACTTTGTTCCTGCTGTTACCTTTGTTGATGCTGTAACCGCTTTGTTCCTGCTGTTACCTTTGTTGATACTGTAACCACTTTGTTCCTGCTGTGGTCTTTGTTGATGCTGTAACCACTTTGTTCCTGCTGGGGTCTTTGTTGAAGCTGTAACCACTTTGTTCCTGCTGTTACCTTTGTTGATACTGTAACCACTTTGTTACTGCTGTTGTCTTTATTGATACTGTAAACATATGTGTTATCTGATTTTCAGGGATTACTGGGCAAAAAACATCAGTGCCAATGTGTATACTGTAAATACTGGCTGGTTCCTGTCCCTGTATTGGTGTGTAGGCACAGCCAGTGTCACCTCTGACAACTGTCATATCCTTTCACAGATGGATAAGCCAGTATGGACTCTGGTGAGTGGCAAATCAGTATCACTTTTTTCTTTTATTTGCATATGTTGTTAGTATAACTAGGTATTCTGAATCAGAGGAATGGAGAATTGAATATTGCAATATGAGAGAAAGAAAAAAAAAAGGAAAAACATGTGGCAAAGAGACTAACTCTGGCCCGGTTTGTGTAATCTGATTGAAATGGTTTGGGTGATCTGGAATTAACTCGGTGATATGATGTTGCAAATGATGTTTGTAAGGTTCAGAGTGCACAGTTTAAGATTTCTCCCCCTAATATAATAAATGTACCATCCATTTGAACCTGTTTTCATTAGCAATACATTTCCAAAAATATGTGAGCACCAACCCGGCTTTGTACAGAAATTCTGAAAAGTATTGATATTCAACCAGTTACTGGTGATCAGGTATGGCTAGATCCCTCAAACCACACGAGTTGAATATTTTGCAATCCATCCTTGGTCCATATCTGTACTTGGCTGTATGAGTCTGTCCAACCGTCTCAACCACTTGTGTGAAAATGACAATTGTCTGTAGTAAGGGGACCAACTCTTTACAATATCTTCATGAAATATCTTTTTTTTTCTCCACATTACAATGCACAGATACAGTATTTTGTAAACATTCAGTAGTGTCTGTTTTTGCTTGTAGCTGCCAAGGAATTACCTGATTCTCTGGGTGACTGTTGATGTGCTGTCTGCTATCATCATTGTTGTCTTGTTTATTGTACAGAGGTATGTTCACATTAAATAGATAGACATTTGAGTTGAATTCTCAACATGTCTCCTGAACCTTCTGACAGTTGATGAAGTTTGTTTTGAAGTAATAATTATTTAAAGGTTTCAGTTTCTGTTCTCTGTGAAAAAAACTGAAATGTTTCAACTTAGATTGAGATTTTCTCTTAATGCCATTCACACTCCTGTATCCTGTACAACAACCCCTACCCTATATGATTTCCTAAACATTAAAAGGTTCACAATCAGATTATATATAATATTTTTCATCGTTGTGAATTTGGACTCTCTTTCATTGATGATAATGAATATATTTGTGTGTTACAAAGTTCACTGTTTTGTGTTTGAATGCATCATCCATATAACTGAACTTTGTATTTCAGAATCCATAGACAAGGCACCAAGTATAGTCCTGAGTCTCAATCTCTGAACTGGGAGGCTCAGAACCAGCAAGTTCAGCAGCACAGAAGTCACCAGCGAGCAGACAGCTACAGACGTAACAAACGTGCCATGAAAGAAAAGTTACTGATGAGAGATGTGGCATCCGAGCTATTTGATGTAGAGCCGGAGGTGGATGACCTTGGCATAGAGAGTAACTACACTGTACAATCAACAGATGGCCGAGTGATGGCTGCAACATTCCATCAGGATCAAAACGGGTATCAGACAAGTTATCAAGACCCCAGTCGTGTACAATCAGAGAGCATAGTAAACCTCTAACTCCTTTGGATTAGGGTAGTGTGTTTATAGAATTATAACCTGACTCTAAAGCTTAATACATGTATTAATGAAATTTCTTAAATATAGGTTAAAGCTATGTGCACTTATTAATTTGTATTACAAAATGATTATGATGTTGTAGTCACATCAATAGACAAAGACACCTCAGAATGGTCACCATGGTTACAAGTAAATTAGTCCTCACTACCCAGGATTCTCTGTCTAGTACACCTGAACAATGTAGCAGGGCACAACTGAATATTCCAAGTCTGTTTGTATGTCAGGTTGTGAGTGTACTTAACCTTTAAATGTTTGTATGTCAGGTTGTGAGGGCAGAATTACAGGGAAGGCAAAATGATCCATTGTAGATTTTGTAATTAACCAGAGAAATAGTGATTTTAATGAATACTGTGTATTCTCATAAAGTAAGGTGATGAGAAAGGAGAGATCAACAAAGGTTGTCATCAGATTTCTGTGTATGGTAAAACCTTACTAATTTATAAACTGAACATTCTGTTACTTAATCTTATGAAGTTACACTAATTTATGACTCCATATGTACCTGTATATTAATAGAAAGTATTTATTACAATAATTTACAAGTAAAGCTTTGTTTGTAAACTTTATGAAAATCATTCAATGATTTTCAAAGCTTGTGAATTAATTTTTCCGGTGAATCATTAAAGAATCTAAAAATTGGACTTTGAAATAGATGTCTTATAAATCTGCACTTGTAGTTTATGCTGATTTTTCTCTAGGAGTTGATGATTCATTTTCTTTATACAAAGAATATTTTGTATTTGATAGCAGCTGATAGATAATGTAGATCTTAAATGTACAGTTGTCTGCTTCGTTTGAAAGTAGGATACTTATTAGTGTAAATTTGCATGCAGTGTTATCAAGTAATCCTTCAGACTAGAACTCCATCATTACACTTACAAATCATAGAATTGAAACTAAGATTATTGCTAAACAGCAGTGGGCAGTACAACACAATAGTTGTGCTTTAAATATTTACATAGCCGCAAAATACTCTTGTGTCTCTTTCAGTTAGTTTATACAATTATATGTACGTGTTTATCCCTCCAGTAGCCATGCTGTTTCAACTCTCGCAACATTTTTTTACGTCGTTAATGAAACTTTATTTAATTATATACAAGATATATCACTTGCAGAGCTCCTTCTGTGATAGAGATCATCATTCAAGTTTTATAAGTTTCATTTTATGCTTGCTTCATAGTGGAGGCTGTCTTTTTGTCTGCTGCATGTTGTCTGTTCTTGTTATTTCTTGGTCAAACTTCATGTTTAGCTCACATTTCATTACCCTAAGACTAAAAGTCTGTCATCAGAACTTAAATCTAGAAACATTTTGATGACGAACTCACAGATCCTAACTTGTTTTACATTTAACATTTTGTTTTCAATACTGTCAAAGCAGGAGCAGAATATTTTTTTTTATTAAAACTGTTTTCAGTTTCTAGTATGGATCCAAAAATGTTTACAGTTGAGGAGAGCTTCATATTGATTCTAAATTTGAAAACATTTTATCACTTTGGTCTTCCTCAATTATGTTAACAGACAACAAACTTGCAAATATGCAATGGTTTCCTTTTTTAGTTTGACTTGGTAACTGTACTGACACTGTGCCTCATCAGTTTTTTGATAGCTGTAAGATATCCAAGCACTCTGGCATGTAGTTTACGTAGTGTTTAATTAATGCTAGCATATTTCTGTATCCTTCAACTGGATATATATTTTGTATAATTGTATGTTTATTACGTTAGATATATTATACATATATCCTGTTAAACAATATTTTGATTTTTTGTTGTGAATTAATATGTCTTCATGAGATTTCATTTTGTTTAGGGATGTTAGCATTTTGTTGCCATGTTGTTGATATTTGAAACATTTTGTTTCATGGTTTGTTTTTTGTAGAAGGGAGGCAATCTCTTTTATTTGTTCAAAGGGAGGTAATTCATATGGGAATACTTGTCAATTTTTTTTGTTTTCCCATTTTAGGTTATTCAAGAAACAATTGAATTCTGAGAAATAAACGAATTATATTATTGACATGCCAATAAGCAGAAATGAGAGACATTTGTGTTGATATTCAAACCCAATGAAAGTTAAATCTAGATTAATTTATTTGAAAGTATAATACAGTATAGTACATATTATAATCACCATATGTGGTATGTGATAAGATCCTGAAAGTAAACAACCTGAATCAAAACAAAAAAGAATGATTTAGATAATTGTAATTCATTTAAATTTTTATTGAATGAAAACATGGAATTTTGGTTGACTTTTGGAATTGGAAAGAACTATAGAAATATTTCAACTTGACTTGAATATTTTTATCCACATACTTTATGGATTGTTACAAATATATAAAATGGCTTTAAGGTACATTCAGATGTTTTGATATCTTCTGTCTTTTCTTGGTTTTTTTTGTCCTTAGAATTTTGTGATTTTGGACACTGATGTTTAAATTGAGTATAATTTGAGGTAGAGACATATTTTCACATTTTTTTTTCTTATTGCAATTTTCTGGCATAATTTTGTTACAAGATTGCTTCAGATTTTATCATGCCTTTAAATTATCATTCAACATGATTATTTGTCCATTTTTATGTTTGTGATGATTTTGTACACACCCTGAAAGAACTTTGAAAGGCAGATACTAGAACAAGGGAGTCAACCACTACATATAAAGACTATGTACCTGCTCACAATGTATAGCTTTTGTATCCTTTTTCATATTCATTGGTGATTTTTACCTAAATTGCTTCAAACTGCTTACTTCTACAGTCAGTAGCTATGACAAACGATCTCCTCTTTGGTACATTATAATTGTTTGCTTCTCATTAATTCTTACTTTGAGTTTTTGACATTTTAAAGAGTATTGCCTCTTTTTGTCCTTTCATCCTTTAAGTTTCTTATTGAAAAATGTTATTCATTTTGTCAACCAACATAATAATAATCGATTGCTGAATACTGAAGGTTATTAAAATCTTCAAAAAAAAAATTTTTTTTTTTTTCATTTTTGACAATTTTTTTCAGAATTATGCCTTTTTTTGTTTTTATGCTTGAAGTGATTGCCTGTTGTTTTCATTTTGTGGTTTTGTTCTGACAAAGATCGGAGACAAAGGAGATCTTACTGTTTTGAGTGTATGCCCATGATTTATTTTTCAGGCTCATTATTTGTGTTTTGAAATCTGTTAACGAGTGCAATAATGTTTGTAAGTTTTGTAATAATTTCTCAGTTAATGAAGATTCACAAGTCTTGTGTTGTATTCTCTTGTGTGACAGAAATCAAAACAAGCTGAAACTTTATTGGCCCAATCTAAAGACCACAAGGTTGCAAACATTAGCCTCTGGATCATAAAATAAACCTTTTTTTTTTTTTTACATAAGCCATTATCCTATGAAATTAAGAAGACTTGCATTGAACTGCAGGTATAAGGTCAACAACTGGACCATTTTGATAAAAACCTTGAAATCTTAAGTAAAATGTTTGTTTATACAAAATAGTTTATTATTTGATAAAGAGTGTATGTTAGTCAATGAAACTTTGGGAAAATGTTCTGTTGTACATGAAGAGATATGGATTGGAAAACAAGTGAAAATTGTTAGGGTATACCATTGTTTTCTAAGGACTATGAGGCTGTCAATCTCTGTCCCCGTGGTTATTTTTCTGTAGACTTTGACACAATATCTGTTTACAAGTTGGACACAACTTTAATGGTAAGTGTGCTTTATTTTAAGTGTTGAACACATCTGAACTTGAATTTGATGTAAGACATATATCTAATGGAAGGATGGTCTGAATTTTTACAGCTTTAAATAATTTGTTTGATGTTTGTGGATATTTAATGCTGATTCTGCAGATCTTGGTAGATATGGTAGTTGAACTAAATTCTTATTCAACCAACTGCAGCTTTGATGACTATTTAATACAAAATCTGTATCATTTGATTTATTATTCAATTTTCTTGATTTGTTGATACAAAGGAAAATATGTGTGACAATGCTGAGTTAATCCTTTTTGTGGCCAAAAATTGGAGAAAATATATAGGTTTAGTTTAGAACAATGTACGGTGCTGTTTATTTTATGTAGATAAGAATGACCTTTTGAAGGAGGATTTAGAAACCTTTGTTTTTTATTCCTGATAATTTTCAAAGAGCTGAATGGGAAGTTCATTTCAGTATCATATAAAATATGACACAACTTTTTGACATGACATACATGATAACATATTCATTCAGTGAGTTGTAATATTACACAGGATTTAATCTTTACCTGGACATTTACCTGTAAGGTAAGCACAGTGTGTTAATTCATGTCAAGGGAGGTAATTTTGTCACTAGAATGTTTAAGGTAAATTTATTTAACTATCTTATGATCATATTAAGTTATCTCCTTATAATAATGACATGTTTTCTAACAGAAATTATTTGAAGACACATCTACTGTACAGGTTTCTGTTTTCAACCATTCAGAAAAATACAAGTCAATTAAAAGTTTGCAAAAAAATAGTCCATATTTTACTTCAAGTACAATGTATGCATTTGTTATGGTTTATTAAAAAATTGTACTCTTTCAACATAACAAATATCACATTAACATAAAGCCATCCATGGCAGTATTGAGCTATGGTGGGTTCCTGTAGGTGTTGTATACCAATATACAAAGTCACATGATACACACTTTAAGTACAAAAACTCCAGGTTACCTAAATATTTGATGTTGTGGTTACATTAAACATGTAGATATAATATTAATAAGATATTACATATAAACTTATTGACATTATCTTTTAACATTGCCATATGTTGAATTTGTTGAATTCTTTTGAATACCGATGCTTATTTTTGTACTTGTTTTTTATGAATTATGTCTTTCATGGTTTGATTGAACCTCTCTACTAGTTCTTGTACTTAATGTATGGATCAAGTTTACCAAGGCATGATAAAGTAACAGTCTGTCATAGAGACTTGACTGGTCAAGTCTCCTTGGTCTGGCTGTGGTCTAGATTTGACTGGTCAAGTCTTTTTGGTTAGGCTGTTGTCTAGATTTTACAGGTCAAGTCTCTCCTAGGGCTGGCTTTGGTAAAGGTTTGACTCATCATATCTGTCCTTGGTCTGGTCGAGTCTTGACTTGTCAAGTGTGGACAGGTAGGCAAGTGTGCTTGTAAAATATGTTGCACAAGCACTAATGTACCTTTGATAACTGACCCCGAGTTCTAAAAATAAAGCTTACATTTCCAGCTTCCTTGAACTGTGATAAATTATTATCATGAAGTTGTTTGTGATTACTTATTACCATAAAAGCATTGCTTTCTTCCTGATTATTTGTAAACAGATAAAATTAATGAAAGTAAAAAGTACTTTGAAGTACTTTTAGTAGTTCCTTTTCAACATTAGATTGATGTCGGTGTTGTCAAATTATGCTGTAGAAAAATCAAATAGGGTTATCGCAAAACATTCTTGAAATTGTATTTGGGGGATTTCTTTTCTTTTGAATTGAGGGTCAGATGTATCATCCCACTAAATAAACGTATAACATCAACTTTTTGTCTTGTTTTTATTACAGAAACTGTTACACTGTCGGATCAGTTCCTAGACTATTGGCTAGCATCCATTTATAATCTATTTAATATGCCTTCCAATGCTGACTCGTTATGCTATATCATGAATATTTTTTAAGAATCGGGTCTGGTGTAAGTCTTCAAATTATAAGCCAATTTGTATCAAAGATAAACAAAATGGTAAGCCATTTATCATTTTTGTTAATTTTTTTAAATGTTACTTGATCATTAGCTCATCAGAGCTTACGAAATGGTGTAGTGTTTATCTGGCATCAATTTTTCAACTTCTACTTCCCAGCAGGCATTGTACGTCAAATTTACGTCAAATGATGGTCAGGACGTCACTGACGAGTATTTGACGAAGATCTGACGTAAATACCCTGACGTCAAATTGATGTCAGAAGTAAAACGTCAGATGTACGTCAAGTGGCCAGAAAACTTGACGAAAATAAAATGTTCACAAAATGTTGCTTTTGATTTCAGAAACGATCTCGGGTAAGCGTACTGTTACAGAAAATACTGCTTGTCCCACCTCCCGCCCCTTCAGTTCTAGTTTTGTCATGATTGAAACAACATTCATGTGATATGATACTCTTTATCCTTCATTAAGCAGTTCTTTATACAGCTTCATAATTTTAACCAAGCTGTATAAATGAAAAAAAATATCTTGGTATATATTGCGGTTGATGTCAATCTGATTAAAATCCAGATCCCAAAATACATCACCAGAAGCCGGTGGGTTTTTTTTTCTCTTGTTACCTCCCTTTAATGGCACATCGAAATTTCGAAAAATAAAATCATCACAAATACATCTACACGATAAGAAATTGTTCTGTGTCAACAAAAAGCTTTTGTTGGCTATTTGATGCTTTAATTTAAAAATTCAACTACTTTTAGTAAAATATGGACCGATATGAATATTATCACCGGAGTAGTTCGTTCATACTTCCTGTCATTTTAAAATTCTAGCGGGCTCCGAGTGTTACGGCGGGAAACGAGGTCACATCGGTTTTTGAATTTTTTACATTTACTTTTGGATTTCTGTCTACAGCTGGTTTATTTTGCTTCATTCTCGGAAAAGGTGAGTTGGTTTATCACTCAATGTCTGTATTTGCACCGTTATATTTTTACTTTTGTTTTTTGTTGACTTTTTAGCTGTTTAAAAAATCATGGTGGAAACAGATTACACGAGGTTACACAACTCGTGGCCACCGGATACGGTATTTCTTTCACTCGAGATAGGCTAGTTATGTTTTAAAAGTTATAATAGAAACTCGCTAAAGCTTGTATCTTTTGTAACTTTAAAAAAATAACCAACTCGAGTGAAAGAAATGCAATAACCAGCAGTATTTTCTCCACTTCTAGCCATGCAGAATACACAAAGATATACAGCACTTTTTTGCTAAAATTTTCATATAACGTATCTTTAAATCATTTTCACAAGTTGAATTGTTTTGGGATTTTTTAACCAGGTTTACTGTGCATACATCAATATTTTGACAAAATTGGCTGATATTTTGGCAGGAAAATAGTTAATGTACAAATGTAGGTATGTGTGAAATGGATATTCTACCTAAGGGTGTATAAGTTGGGGTCTTAACGGAGGCTTCAAAGGTTATAACCCAAATGGCTCCTGTATGTGTGGTGCAAATTTTGAAGATGCTATACACTTTTTCTTCCAGTGTCCTCTTTACTCACATGTTAGACATCATGTTAACTCTTTTAGTTTTTTTTTTAAATAAGAACTAGTATGATAAAGTATAAAACTACTAAATTCATCTGACATTCCAATGATACCATAAAGCAAAATAATAAGGTTAACATTTCCTAATAAATTATATGGGAAATATGGTATTCAAATCTTAATTTTAAGAAGGATTACTGGTATTATAATAAAATATACATTAATTTTGTTAGGGCCTCACTCTAACAGAGAATAGATATGAACATATTATGTTTCAAACATTTTGTAATTTGTGTATTTGGAATGTTTCATG